CCCAAAACCCTCTCCCCTCTCCTCTTCTGCCACCCCAAAACTTTGGTGGGGGTGAATGGTGCTTCTTGTGTAAGGTTGCAGGGAGGGATGTGGGGTTGTGTGTGCTGTCCCCTGCCACCCCCTCTGCTTCTCCAGGCTCTCTCAGTGAGTACCAGCAGGACGAGGAGGGCTCTGGAGCCCCCAGACCAATTGGAGTGAATCCAAAGTCATGGCTCAGACAACAAATTCCAAATTCTCACCCAGGCCTGGTGCAGGACGAAGTCGGAGGAGAGGGATCCTCACGCTGGGAGGCTGGGAGGAAAATGCACATGGTAATGAACAATCTCAGAAGGATGCCAGCATCGGGGTAGGATGGGGAGAGGAGGCTGGAGCACTATCAAACAATTAGGAAGGTGGCAATTACCAGTCTCATGAGATATCAGGTTGAATCCTAAAAGCATCAAGATTCTTTCACAACGAGATGTAACTGCTGCAGTGTTCGTCCTCTGGGGTATTTGCTCGGACAAAACATTTCCTTTCCCGCAAGACCAACAGAATTTTGACGGGAGAAGAGGCAGCCTGTGTGCAACTGCCCAGTGCTCTCAGTGCCTGACCCGTGATTGTGCAGAAACGCCCCAAAAAGCAGCTTTATTTGGGGACAAATAGGCTGCTTGGAGCTTCTGAGGACGTGGAGATCCCAGTTTTCCTCACTGGAGAAGACCGTGGCGAGGAGCACCGGAGGGAGGGAGCGAGCGTGCCCTGCTTGGACACACCAACAGGTTGGCCCCAAGGAAAGGTAGGGGATCGGGACCAGAGTCCAGCCCTGGGCACTGCTTGTTTCTCCCTGGATGTCCCCAAAGACCCTCTCACTGCTCCCATGGTTGTCCTCAGTCGGGATGACTGGATTGATCCAACCCCCCTTCTGCCCTCACCTCACCCCCAGCCATCCCACGGCACCCCTGTCCCCAGCCCTGCTGTGCCACCTGACAGGGACCCCCCTCCCTTCACATCCCCTGGGCTCCCACTAACCCCCCTCTGCTCTGGCCACAGCTGGGGACCACGTCCCACCTTCCACCATGGAGCTGAACCAGACGTCCCCACCTCCCTCATCTCCCGTGATGGACACTGAAGGAGATGATTCCTGTGGGATCAATGTCACCGATGTGGCCGTAGATGGTGCCACTCTGCTCATCTGCCTCTGTGGGCTGGCTGGGAACGGGGCTGTCCTCTGGCTCCTCGGATTCCACATCCGCAGGAACCCCATCACTGTCTACATCCTCAACCTGGCCGTCGCCGACTTCACCTTCCTCCTCTTCATGTTCCCCTCCACCCTGCTCTACCTGCTGGAGGACGTGTCCTGCTCCACTGTCGTGTCCCTGAAGTACCTGAGGTCCCTTCTCCTGCTGTCGCTGTTCTCCTACAACATGGGGCTGTACCTGCTGACAGCCATCAGCATCGAGAGGTGTGGTTCAATTCTCTTCCCCCTCTGGTACCGCTGCCGCCGTCCCCAGCGCCTGTCATGGGTGGTGTGTGCCCTGCTCTGGGCCCTTTCCATCGCCGTCATGGTCGTGGTGACCTCCCTGTGCCTGTCACACGAGCAAGAGCACTGCCAGGTGGCTCTCATCTCCATGTACGCCCTCAGCTTCCTCATCTTTGCTCCACCCATGGTCATCTCCAATGTGATCCTCTTCATCAAGGTCCAGTGTGGCTCCAAGAGACGTCAGCCTAAGCGGCTCTACATCGTTATCTTCCTCACTGTGCTCTTCTTCCTCATCTTTGGAGTGCCCCTCAGCCTCTGCAATTTCCTTCAGCAGCTCAGCCCCACCCTTGTGCCCTCCCACGTGGTCTTCCTGCTGGCCTGCATCAACAGCAGCATCAACCCCTTCATCTACTTCTTGGTGGGGAGCTGCTGGAGGCGCTGCTCCGTCGTGTCCCTCCAGGTCGCCTTCCGGAGGGTCTTTGAGGAGACAGGGATCACCACAATGTCCAGCTGAGAGGCTGCTGTGGTCCCACCGGCTGTGCTGCCCACGCTGGCTTCATGCTCAGCTGCCCACCCTTGCTCCCAGCCAGGCCTGCAGGTCATCTTCCTGCACCTGTGAGTCAGGATGCATCCCGCGGCTTTTCCATCCCTTTTCCCATCCCACTGATCCATGTTGTTGTGTCTATCCCTATCCCCATCCCCATCCCTGTCCCCCTCTCCATCCCTATCCCTATCCCTATCCCTATCCCTATCCCTATCCCTATCCCTATCCCTATCCCTATCCCTATCCCTATCCCATCTCTATCCCTATTCCCATCTCTATTCCTGTCCCTGTCCCTGTCCCTATCATTGCATCCCCACCCTATCTGCATTCCCACCCCAGTCCTATCCCCTAACTGTCCTTATCTCGGCTCCCCTTCCCTGTTGCCTGTACCTATCCCATGCTATGCCATGCCATGCCGTGCCATCCCGCAGGTTTCCCACCCGGCGTCCGCTCCGAGCGCGATCCGTCGGGCTCTGCTGCCCTCCTGTGGGAATATTTGGGATTGCCGGCATCCGGACCCTTCCCGATCCCCTCTGACATCCCAGATCCCCCCTGGGGCCGCCTTCCCCCCTGCCAGCCCCGCTCCTGCCCCGCTCCGCCCGGGATCCCCGGCAGTGTGCCCGCTCCTGGCAATTCCACGCTCCTGTGCCCCAATAAACGCTGATGGATCCATCCCGCTGTCGCCTCTGGTCCTTCTCCAAGGGAGGCTGGGGGGCGGGACACCGCGGGTGAAGATCTGGAGGGGGATGTCCCAGGGAAACAGTTCCCGAAAACCGTGCGAGGCAGCCTGGGGTGAGCAGCCCCTGGGGAGGGACTGGAGCCTCAGGCACGGGGCTGGGAGGGATGGGAAGGATGGGAATGGGTGGGCTGCATGGGGAGTGGGGTGGGAGGTTGCGGGGTGGATTAAGGAAGTGGTGAGGCTTATGGGCAGGTGTTGGACATAGTGGGAAGGTGTGGGATGTGGTGGGGCTGGAGACCTCAGCAATGCCCCAGGGAGGCAGGTGGTGCCCCACAGTGCCTGTGGTGACACACACAGGTGTCACCCTGCTCCTGGAAGGGGGTGGCTGTGCTGAGGACATGGCCTCCTCCTCTCCTTGCTGCTGCACCATCTGAGCCTGCTGAGGGAGCAGCTGAAGGCCGTGGAGAGGAAGAACTTCTGAAGGCAGAGAGACCTTTGCACCTGGCTCACAAAATAAAAATTAAAGATCTCTGAGGATATTTCTGCTGTGACACTCACAGAGCACTCGGGGGGCAATGCTGAGCCCCTGGGCCATCGTGTCTGTGCTGGCTGTGGCGCTGCCAGCCCAGCTCTGGGCACTGGGGATCACTGTTCCTCCAGGGAGCACAAGCCATGGGTGTGTGTCCCCTCCCTCCAGCCACATTCCCGGCTGGCAGCAGCAGCCAGAGGAAGCCGGGAGGCGAAGGCAGCTCAGGGTTCACGGTGCTGTTTATTGATATCACACCCCAGTGGGATGCAGGAACCAGGGTGCCAGGGGGAATTTTGGGATCACAGCCATGTTGGAAAGGACCCGTGAGGGAGGAGCACAGCCATGCTCCAATGGGCTCCTCGCAGAGCATCCCCCCCACATGGCCCTTGGCAATGCCCCTGCTCCCTTCTCCTTCAGGATTACAGCACCACGGGGAGGGTGATCCCATGGATATTTGTTAATCAGGTGACTCAAGGAAACCCTCAGCCACTCTGCCAAGGTCCTTCAGCAGAGCAGGGAAGGGATCAGCAGGCTGGAAAGGCTGTGTCCATGGCAGGATCATCACTGTGGGCAGTGTTTTCTTCTGGCTCCTCAAAGACCCTCTGGAGGGAGAGCCGGAGGGATCCCACAGAGCAGGGTCTCCTGCACCTCCCCACCAAGAAGTAGATGAAGGGATTGATGGTGCTGTGGATGCAGGTGAGCAGGAAAACAACCTGGGAGGGCACAGTGATGTAACCGAGCTGCTGCAGGAAATTGCAGAGGCTGAGTGGGAGAGCAAAGAGGAGGAAGAAGAGCACAACGAGGAAAATAACAATGTTGAGTCTCTTGGGTTGCTGCTGCTGGGAGATACACTTGACCTTAATGAAGAGAATTGTGCTGGAAATGACCATGGCTGGGGCAAAGAAGAAGAGGTTGAGGGCATACATGGTGATGAGAGACACCTGACAGTGCTCGTGCTCCTTTGAGTGGCACAGGGCAGTCATGGTGACAATGACAGTGATGGAGAGGGCCCAGAGCAGGGCACACACCACCCATGACAGGCGCTGGGGACGGCGGCAGTGGTACCAGAGTGGACAGAGGATGGATGTGCACCTCTCGATGCTGATGGCAGTCAGCAGGTACAGCCCCAGGTTGTAGGAGAAGAGCAGGAGTGGGAAAAGCGCCCTCAGGAACACCAGGGGCACGATTGTGGAGCAGGACAATTCCTCCAGCAGGTAGAGCAGGGTGGAGGGGACGGCGAAGTGGAGGAAGGAGAAGTTGGCGAAGGCCAGGTTGATGATGTAACAGGTGGTGGGGTTCCTTTGGAGAAGGCAGAGCACAGCCCCATTCCCGGCCAGCCCACAGAGGCAGATGAGCAGTGTCACACTGTCTATGGCCACGTCAGTGACATCAATATCACAGAGATCGTCTCCTTCAGTGGGTGAGGCGGGAGATGGGGACACGGTGGTCTCCTCCATGGATGGACGCTGGGCAGGCAGTGGGATGTGGCTCCTGGCTGTGGTCAGAGCGGATGGGCAGTCAGTGCTTGGAGAATCCAGGGATGGACCACACCACTGCTCAGCAGCTCCCTGCAGTGGGAAGGATTCAGAGGGGGAGGAGTGAGATGTGCAGGGGAGGAGGGAGGTGGAAATTGTGGGGTGGGAGGGTTGGGATGTTCAAGCTCAGGGCAGAGGAGGGGGGACCTGGGGAGAGCAGCGCGGTCACGGGAGAGGATGGCAGGAACAGAGCAGCTGCTGCAGGAGAGGAAGGTGGGGTAGGGAGGAAGGAAACCATTCCACTGACCTGTTCCCTGTGGGGCAGCAGCAGGCAAAGGGGTCTGTGCAGATCAGCGGCGCTTCCTGGTACTTCTTGCTCCTTTGGGATCCATGTCCTAAAGCGGCTCCTGGCAGGTCAGTGACATGAAGGAGAAAGTGCCCAGATCACCAGGAGCTCCCCACTCCCGTCCAGCCGGCTCCTCTCTGTGCTTTGTCCTGGTGTTGCTCCCCAAGGCTCGGGGGAATCACGGGGGAGTCGGAAATTGCATCTTTGGCTACGTCAGAATTCCATTTCTACCGAGTCATTTATCGTGATTTTTTTTTTTTTTGGTGTTTGTCCACTAAGGAAGTGGCTTTTGCCAGACACTGCAAACAGAATTTTGCAATTGGCTCATCATTTCCCCCTGATTAGAAACATTCCTCCCCTGCAGAATATCCCATTCTCCAATTGCTTCTCCTCTCTGAACAGGCTTCTACCATTCCTCATTTCCCTTCACTGCGGGGTCATCGTCCCTCCAGCAGCAGAGGGATGCTGGTGGTGCTGGTGGCACTGGAATGCCGGCAGTGCCGGCAGTGCTGATGATGAAGCCGCTGGATGCTCGTCAGAAACATTTCGCATTCTGGGAAGAGCTCCGGGATCATTGCCAAAACCTTCCCAAAGGGCCAAAGGGCGCTCGGCTGAGCTTCCTGGCCCTCTCCCAATCCCATCCTCATCCCTGCTGCCCGTGGCGCTCTCCACTCCATCCTCTCCCCATCCTCTCCCGTCCCGCCGCTTTCCGGGCCGCCGGCGCCTCCCAGCTCCGAGCGCGGCCCGTGGGGCTCTGCTGCCCTCCGGTGGCCACATTTGGGATCGCCAGCATCCAGGCAGCCTCCGAGCCCCCCGACCCTTCCTGACCCTTCCTGACCCTTCTTCATCTCCTCGGACACCCTAGATCACTCCCGGCCGGGCCACCTCCCAACCCGGCAGCCCCGCTCCTTCCCTGCTCCACCCGGGACTCCCGGCAGCGTCTCTGCCCGTCCTGGCCATGGTGTTCTAGGACTTGGGAGGGAGGAGGAAAGCCCTGCTCCCCTCAGAGCATCCCTCCCACATGCCGCTGCTCCCTTCTCCTGCAGGATTACACCGCGGGAGTGTTCCAAACGAGTGTTTGAGATCGCTGAAAAAGTCACTGCCAAGGGGATCAGTAAAAACCACATTTAATATTGAGCATCAGCACACCAGAGTTCATTGGCCCGGTTCACTCTAGCCCTGACCATACAGGCACACCATGGAAAAAAAACTTTACAAAGGATATCCAGTCAATGAAACAAGAAATATGACACGTGTGTGGATGCAGAGAAACAGTGAGTGCAAAGTCCCTGTGAAAAATTCCCTTCTGGATTTCTCACTCTGGATACCTTTGCAGCTCCTCACCAGGCCAAGGGTTAGGCCTTGAGGAGTGGAAGAATCCGCCCAGGATCGGTGGGAATTCAAGGATCCTCCGAGTGCCACAAATGGGAGAGTTCCTGCTCAGGTGACTCAAGGAAACCCTCAGCCACTGTCTCAGGATCCTTCAGCAGAGCAGGGGAAGGGAACACAGGCTCAGACTGCTGTGTCCACAGCAGCAGCACTGTTGTGGGCAGTGTTTTCTTTTGGCTCCCCAAAGACGTTGTGGAGTGCCTTCTTTAGGGACTGCATGGAGGAAGGCCTCCTGCAGCTCTCCACAGAGCAGTCCCTCCCACAGCTCCCCACCAAGAAGTAGATGAAGGGTTTGATGCTTCTGGTGATGCAGGTGAGCAGGAAAACCACCTGGGAGGGCACAACCGTGTAACCGAGCTGCTGCAGGAAATTGCAGAGGCTGAGGGGGAGAGCAAAGAGGAGGACAAAGAGCACAGTGAGGAGGATAGCTGTGTCAAGCCTCCTGGGCTGCTGCTGCTGGGGGTCAGACTTGACCTTAACAAAGAGGACTGTGCTGCAAATGACCATGGCTGAGGCAAACAGGATGAGGTTGAGGGCGTACATGGAGATGTGAGCTCCCTGGCAGTGCTCGTGCTCCTGGCAGAGACACAGAGAACTAATGGTGACTGTGAAACCGATGGACAGGGCCCATAAGAGGACGTTCACCACCTCCAAAAGACGCTGGGGACGGTGCCTGTCGTACCAGCGTGAGCAGAGAATGGATGTGCACCTGTCAATGCTGGTTACTGTCAGCAGGTACAGCCCCAGGTTGTAGGGGAGCAGTGACAGCAGGAAAAGTGTCCTCAAGTAAGTCAGGGGCATGATGGTGGAGCACGACATGTTCTCCAGCAGGCAGAGCAGGGTGGACGGCACCATGAGGAGGAGGAAGAGGGAGTCAGCAAAGGCCAGGTCGAAGAAGTAGAGCGTCATGGAGTTCCTGTGGAGGAGGCAGAGCACAGCCCCGTTCCCGGCCAGCCCACAGAGGCAGATGAGCAGCATGACACTGTCTACAGCCACGTTGGTGACATCTATCTCACACAGATAATCTTCAGTGGGTGAGGCAGGAGACGGGGAGATGGTGCTCACCTCCATGGATGGACGCTGGGCAGGCAGTGGGATGTGGCCCCTGGCTGTGGTCAGAGTGGATGGGCAGTCAGTGCTTGGAGAATCCAGGGATGGACCATGTGGCTCCTCAGCAGCTCCCTGCAGTGGGAAGGATTCAGTGGGGAGGAGTGAGATGTGCAGAGGAGGAGGGCAGTGGGAATTGTGGGGTGGGAGAGGAAGGTGGGAGGGTTGGGCTGGTGTGCAGGGGGTTGATAAATAACAGAGAATAAACATTTTCAACTCCCCTGAAGTTGCTTAAAGACTGACTGGTCAGAGAGATAAATGGATGTAAAGATGTGGACACAGGATGATAAATGTGGCTGGCGCTGGTGCAGAAACAGATTAGGAGGCCTGCAGTATTTCTGGGGCAAGTTCTGTTACAGGAAGCAACAGTGCATAGCCAGAGGAAAAGTTCAAGGCAAGGTCACCTTTAATATCACAGCACCCAGTGAATACAAACACCAGAAACTCCTCTTACTGAACTTTCAGGATCAAATAATTACTTCTACTAGGAGGCTGACATGTGCAAATAAATTCTAAGAAAATGATGTTTTTGTGTCAGATAAGAAAAACCTTTCAATGTCTATGTGTGATTATGATGGATAAAAGCCCTGTTGTAAAACTCACCACACACGGAACAAGGAGAGATCCTTCTGTATGTCCTGTGCAGGTAAAGAATGTCCCATGGCTGCTCCCTTTCCTTGAAGCACTGCCCATCAGTCTCTGCTGCCCTCCAGTTGGAACATTTGGGATCAGCAGCATCCAGACCCTTCCAGAACTCTCCGACCCTTCTGAACCCCTCTGACAAATTCCGGACCTACCCTGGGGCTGCCTTTTCCCCTATGACAGCCCCGCTCCTGCCCTGTGCACCCAGGACCATGAGCAGTGTCTAGATAAAGAAATAATAAACAACCTTGAGAATGTGAACTGAAGACTTCTTGACTCCTTCTTTGGTTGCTGGGCTGGGGAAAAGAGACTTTTAACAGAGACACACCTCGGGATCTTCCCAACCAGACCAGAGAAAATCCTGAGATCTCTGCTTCTCCCAGCCACTGCCGCTTTTGTACATTAAAATTAACAATTTAGCAAAGAAAGAACAAGAACAGCATTTAGCTGGAAAGGTATCTCATGCCTTGACCTTGCCTCCAGGTCTGACCCATTCAGATGTCTCAGGCACTAACACACCTGAGAGAGCAGCATTTGTGCCACATTTGCCACAGCAGCTGCACACGTGTATGCACAGAGGCAGAAAGAGTCAGTGCAAGGTCCCTGTGAGAAATTCCCCTGGCAGGCAGTGAAATGCTCCCTGGGGATCCCTCTGCATCTCCTCACTGGGCCAAGGGCTGGGCCTGGAGCACTGGGGGATCGGCCCAGGAGCCGTCGGCGTTCGGGGATCAGCCGAGGGCAGCAGACGGGAGAGATCCCAGCTCGGAGAGGCCCCACTCCCAGGGAGCTTCTGCTCAGCGCTGCTGGGCCCAGGAGAGCTCCAAGGGTCTCCTTTTGGGGCGCTCCTCAAAGGACCGAAGGGATGGGCGTCACTCACAGCAATATTTCACCCTGGCCACACTTCGGGCAGGCAGCTCTCTAGGAAAGTGGGAGAGCAGGGATGCTGTGGCCTTCAGGGAAGGAAAACAATTCCCAAGGCTGTTGATAAAGGCCCAGGAGGTGGTTGGACAGCAGCAGTTCCTGGGAGCAGAGGGTGTTTCTGATCAGCGCCAGAGCAGCTGAGCCCAGGGGCTGCTCCTCAAGGCTGAGGCCTCACAAGCACGGATCAGAGCCCAGAGCGGCCTGGAAAGGGGCTGGGGATGCCCCAGCACAGGGAGGGTGACACTGTGGGCATTTACTGACCAGGAGACTCAAGGAATCTCTCAGCCACTGTCCCAGGGTCCTTCAGCAGTGCAGTGGATGGGATCAGCAGGCTCTGTGTCCATGGTAGGTTCAGCGCTGTGGGCAGTGTTTTCTTTTGGTTCCTCAAACACCCTGTGGATCGCCTTCCTTAGGGACTGCACAGAGGAGTGCCTCCTGCAGCTCTGCATGGAGCAGTGTCTCCAGCAGCTCCTCATGGAGTAGGCTCTCTTCCAGCTCCCCACCAAGAAGTAGATGAAGGGTTTGATGCTGCTGGTGATGCAGGTGAGCAGGAAAACCACCTGGGAGGGCACAGCTGTGTAACCGAGCTGCTGCAGGAAAGACCAGAGACTGAGGGGCAGACTGAGGAGTACAATGAGGAAGATAACGATGTCAAGCCTCCTGTGTTGCTGCTGCTGGGACCCAGGCTTGAAATGAATGAAGAGGATTGTGCAGGAAATGACCATGGGTGCAGCAAATAGGAAGAGGTTGAGGGAGTACATGGAGGTGAGAGCCACCCGGCATTGCTCCTGCTCATGTGACTGGCACTGGGAAGTCACCATGGGATTGACAGCGACGACAACAAAGAACAAGGCCCAGAACAGGATTTTCATCACCACTAACAGCAGGCGCTCGGAAATTTGGCAACCACAGAAAAACTGGCAGAGGATGGACCTGCCCCTCTCAATGCTGATGAACGACAGCCGGTAGAGCCCTGTACTGTAGGAGACCATTGAAAGCTGGAAAAGCAAGCTCAAATACATTTGGGGCATTATAGCAGAGCAGGACACTTCCTCCACAAGGAAGAGCAGGGTGGAGGGGACCATAATGATGAGGAAGAGGAAGTCGATGCTGGCCTGATTGAATGCCACAAAGTAAGTGAGGGCATCAATGTGGAGGAGCCAGAGGAATGCCGCATTCCCAGCCAGCCCACAGAGGCCGATGAGCAGCGTCACAAAGTCTACAGCCATGTTGGGGACACTGATGTCACACTGAGTGGTTCCATTGTTTGGTGAAGTGAAAAGAGGGGACACGGTGCTCACCTCCATGGATGGACGCTAGGCAGGCAGTGGGATGTGGCTCCTGGCTGTGGTCAGAGTGGATGGGCAGTCAGTGCTTGGAGAATCCAGGGATGGACCATGCAGCTCCTCAGCAGCTCCCTGCAGTGGGAAGGATTCAGTGGGGTGGAGCGAGATGTGCAGGGGAGTAGGGTGGTGGAAATTGTGGGGTTGGAAGGTTGGGCTGGTGTGCAGGGGGTTGATAAATAAGAAAGAATATACATTTTCAACTCCCCTGAAGTTGCTTTAAAAGTAACTGGGCAGAAAGATAAAAGGACGTAAAAATGTGGACACAGGATGATAAATGTGGCTGGGAGAAGTGGAGAAAGTGATAAGGAAGCACAGAGTATTTTTATGGTAAATTCTGTAAATAGAAGCAAGAGCACATGGCCAAAGGAAAAGTTCAAGGCAGGGTCTCCTGTAATATCACAGCACTCAGGGAATGCGACCACCAGAGACCCCTCTGAATGATCCTCCAGGGCCATCAAATGATGCCCAGTAGGAAGTGGATGCATGGAAATGAGTTCTAGGAAAATGGTGTTTATGGAGACCATAGTAAAAGCGTTTTAATGTCTATGTATGATTATAGTGGATAAAAACACTGTTGCATCTTCAACACCCCAGACCATCCCCGGAGCCCCCTTCTCCACCGGACAGACCAGATCCTGCCCTGCTCCAGCCACGACTCCCAGCAGGGTCTCTGCTCCTCCTGGTCATAGGAGGTCCAAGGATGGAGGAAAAAAGCCCATCTCCAGCATGCTCCTCAGGAGAACACAGATGATAAACGTGGCTGGAGCCACTGCAGAAACAGATGAGGAGGCTTGCAGTGGATTTGGGGCAAATCCTCCCTGTGCATCCCTTTGTATCTCCTCACAAGCACGGATCAGAGCCCAGAGGGGCCTGGAAAGGGGCTGGGGATGCCCCAGCACAGGGAGGGTGACACTGTGGGCATTTACTGACCAGGAGACTCAAGGAATCTCTCAGCCACTGTCCCAGGGTCCTTCAGCAGTGCAGTGCAAGGGATCAACAGGCTCAGGCCTCTGTGACCATGCTAGGTTCAGTGCTGTGGGCAGTGTTTGGCTCCTCAAACACCCTGTGGATCGCCTTCCTTAGGGACTGCACAGAGGAGTGCCTCCTGCAGCTCTGCATGGAGCAGTGTCTCCAGCAGCTCCGCATGGAGTAGGCTCTCTTCCAGCTCCCCACCAAGAAGTAGATGAAGGGTTTGATGCTGCTGGTGATGCAGGTGAGCAGGAAAACCACCTGGGAGGGCACAGCTGTGTAACCGAGCTGCTGCAGGAAAGACCAGAGACTGAGGGGCAGACTGAAGAGTGCAACGAGGAAGATAACGATGTCAAGCCTCCTGTGTTGGTGCTGCTGGGACCCAGGCTTGAAATGAATGAAAAGGATTGTGCTGGAAATGACCATGGGTGCAGCAAATAGGAAGAGGTTGAGGGCGTACATGGAGGTGAGAGCCACCTGGCATTGCTCTTGCTCAAGTGACTGGCACTGGGAAGTCACCATGGGATTGACTGCGATGACAACAAAGAGGAAGGCCCAGAAGAGGACACTCATCACCACCCACAGCATGCGCTCAGGAAGTTGGCAACCACAGAAAAACTGGCAGAGGATGGACCTGCACCTCTCAATGCTGATGAACGTCAGCCGGTAGAGCCCCATGTTGTAGGAGAATAGTGACAGCTGGAAAAGCAAGCTCAAATACATTGGGGGCATTATAGCAGAGCAGGACACTTCCTCCACAAGGAAGAGCAGAGTGGAGGGGACCATGAAGATGAGGAAGAGGAAGTCAGTGATGGCCTGGTTGAAGATGAAGTCGGTGAGGGCATCAATGTGGAGGAGCCAGAGGAAAGCCCCATTCCCAGCCAGCCCACAGAGGCCGATGAGCAGTGTCACAATGTGCATGGCCATGTTGGAGACACTGATGTCACACTGACCAGGTCCATTGTTCGATGAAGTGAAAAGAGGGGACACTGTGCTCACCTCCATGGATGGATGCTGGGCAGGCAGTGGGATGTGGCTCCTGGCTGTAGTCAGAGTGGATGGGCAGTCAGTGCTTGGAGAATCCAGGGATGGACCATGTGGCTCCTCAGCAGCTCCCTGCAGTGGGAAGGATTCAGTGGGGAGTAACGAGACGTGCAGGGGAGGAGTAGGGTGGTGGGAATGATGCGGTGGGAGAGGGAGGTGGGAGGGTTGGGCTGGTGTGCAGGGGCTTGATAAATAAGAGAGAATAGCATTTTCAACTCCCCTGAAGTTGCTTAAAGACTGACTGGTCAGAGAGATAAATGGATGTAAAGATGTGGACACAGGATGATAAACGTGGCTGGAGGCAGTGCAGAAACAGATACGGGGGTCTGCAGTGGTTTTGGGGCAAGATCTGTAACAAGAAGCAAGAGCACATGGCCAAAGGAAAAGTTCAAGGCAGGGTCTCCTGTAACATCACAGCACTCAGAGAATGAGACCACCAGAAGCACCTCTGAATGATCCTCCAGGGCCATCAAATGATGCGCAGTAGGAAGTGGATGCATGGAAATGAGTTCTAGGAAAATGGTGTTTATGTACTAGATAAGAAAAACATTTTAATGTCTTATGTGTGGTTAAAGTGGATAAAAATACTGTTGTAAAGTCGCAAACTTAGAAGTGCTTCAGTTATACATTAATCTTAGCAATTCAGCAGAGAAATATCACTTAGCACCATTTATCCTTATTTATGCCTGATACTTCCTTTCAGGCCTGACCCACTCAGATGTCTCAGGCACTAACACACCTGAGAGAGCAGCATTTGTGCCACATTTGCCACAGCAGCTGCACACGTGTGTGCACAGAGGCAGAAAGAGTCAGTGCAAGGTCCCTGTGAGAAATTCCCCTGGCAGGCAGTGAAATGCTCCCTGGGGATCCCTCTGCATCTCCTCACTGGGCCAAGGGCTGGGCCTGGAGCACTGGGGGATCGGCCCAGGAGCCGTCGGCGTTCGGGGATCAGCCGAGGGCAGCAGACGGGAGAGATCCCAGCTCGGAGAGGCCCCACTCCCAGGGAGCTTCTGCTCAGCGCTGCTGGGCCCAGGAGAGCTCCAAGAGTCTCCTTTTGGGCCGCTGCTCACAGGCCCCAAGGGATGGGCGTCACTCACAGCAATGTTTCACCCGGGCCACACTTCGGGCAGGCAGCTCTCTGTGAAAGTGGGAGAGCAGGGATGCTGTGGCCTTCAGGGAAGGAAAACAATTCCCAAGGCTGTTGATAAAGGCCCAGGAGGTGGTTGGACAGCAGCAGTTCCTGGGAGCAGAGGGTGTTTCTGATCAGCGCCAGAGCAGCTGAGCCCAGGGGCTGCTCCTCAAGGCTGAGGCCTCACAAGCACGGATCAGAGCCCAGAGCGGCCTGGAAAGGGGCTGGGGATGCCCCAGCACAGGGAGGGTGACACTGTGGGCATTTACTGACCAGGAGACTCAAGGAATCTCTCAGCCACTGTCCCAGGGTCCTTCAGCAGTGCAGTGCAAGGGATCAACAGGCTCAGACCCTGGTGTCCATGGTTAGATCATCTCCATAGGAAATGTTTTTTTTTGGCTCCTCAAACGCCCTGTTGAGCACCTTCCTTAGGGACTGCACAGAGGAGTGCCTCCTGCAGCTCTGCATGGAGCAGTGTCTCCAGCAGCTCCTCATGGAGTAGGCTCTCTTCCAGCTCCCCACCAAGAAGTAAATGAAGGGTTTGATGCTGCTGGTGATGCAGGTGAGCAGGAAAACCATCTGGAAGGGCACAACCGTGTAACCGAGCTGCTGCAGGAAAGACCAGAGACTGAGGGGTAGACTGAGGAGTACAACGAGGAAGATAACGATGTCGAGCCTCCTGTGTTGCTGCTGCTGGGACCCAGGCTTGAAATGAATGAAGAGAATTGTGCTGGAAATGACCATGAGTGCAGCAAACAGGAAGAGGTTGAGGGCATACATGGAGGTGAGAGCCACCCGGCATTGCTTCTGCTCGTGTGACTGGCACAGGGAGGTCACCACTGGATTGACAGCGATGGCAACGAAGAGCAAGGCCCAGAAGAGGGCACTCATCAACACCCACAGCACGCGCTCAGGAAGTTGGCAACCACAGAAAAACAAGCATAGGATGGACCTGCACCTCTGAATGCTGATGAACATCAGTCAGAACAGCCCCATGTTGTAGGAGAACAGTGACAACTGGAAAAGCAAGCTCAAATACATTTGGGGCATTATAGCAGAGCAGGACACTTCCTCCACAAGGAAGAGCAGGGTGGAGGGGACCATGAAGATGAGGAAAAGGAAGTCAGTGATGGCCTGGTTGGAGATGAAGTCGGTGATGGCATCAATGTGGAGGAGCCAGGGGATAGCCCCATTTCCAGCCAGCCCACAGAGGCTGATGAGCAGTATCACAATGTGCACGGCCACACTGGAGACATTGATGTCACACTGACCAGGTACATCCTTTGGCAAGGTGAAAAGAGGGGAAGCGGCGCTCACCTCCATGGATGGACGCTGGGCAGGCAGTGGGATGTGGCTCCTGGCTGTAGTCAGAGTGGATGGGCAGTCAGTGCTTGGAGAATCCAGGGATGGACCATGTGGCTCCTCAGCAGCTCCCTGCAGTGGGAAGGATTCAGTGGGAGGAGTGAGATGTGCCGGGGAGGAGTAGGGTGGTGGGAATTGTGGGGTGGGAGGGGGAGGTCGGAGGGTTGGGCTGTTTGGCAGGGGGTTGATAAATAAGAGAGAATAAGCTTTTTCAACTCCCCTGAAGTTACTTTAAAACTGACTGGTCAGAGAGATAAATGGATGTAAAGATGTGGACACAGGATGATAAACGTGGCTGGAGGCAGTGCAGAAACAGATAAGGGGGCCTGCAGTGGTTTTTCGGGCAACTTCTGTTACAAGAAGCAAGAGCACATGGCTAAGGGAAAAGTTCAAGGCAGGGTCTCCTGTAAGATCTGAGCACTCAGGGAGGGCATTAATCCTCCAATTTCAGCTTCAGGTAATGAAGTCATTTACCCCCAGCTTGCCCTCCTCCAATTCACTTTTGTGTATACTTTTCCAGGCCTGAGGCAGTAGAATGTCCTTGAATTCCGGCCTTAAAGGGGTTGTTTTGTCTGCCCAAAAGGTGAAGAGAGTTAACTAACACTTTATATGGAGTTTAGAGTTATGGACTAATGCAGTACAAAACTTGAAAAATAGAAAAGCTAAAATCCTAAGGCATCATGCCCCCCTCTGACATCCTCTAGAAATTCCCCCCAGGCTGCCTTCCCCTCCAGACATCCCCACTCCTCTCCTGCCCCACACGGGACCCCCAGCAGTGCTTCCACTCCTCCTGGCAATTCCATGCTCCTCTGCACCGGGGATGTGGTGGGGCTGGAGAGAAGGTGTGGATGTGGTGGGGCTGGAGAGAAGGTGTGTGATGTCGTGGGGCTGGTGACCTCAGCAATGCCTCAGGGATGTCGGCAATGTCCCGTGGAGCCTGTGGTGACAAACACAGGTGTCACCTTACTCCTGGAAGGGGGTGGCTGTGCTGAGGACCATGACCTCCTCCTCTCCTTGCTGCTGCACCATCTGAACCTGCAGAGGGAGCAGCTGAAGGCCGTGGAGAGGAAGAATTTCTGTAGGCAGAGAGACCTTTGCACCTGGCTCACAAAATTAAAGATTTCTGGGGAGATCTCTGCCTTGACACTCACAGAGCACTCGGGGTGGGCAATGCTGAGCCCCTGGTCTATCGTGTCCATGCTGGCTGTGCTGCTGCCAGCCCAGCTCTGGGCACTGGGGATCATGGCTGCTCCTGGGAGCAGAAGCCATGGGTGTGTTCCCTCTGGCACCAAGATGTTTAAGTCTAACAGCAAAAGCGTGTTAGACTAGTAAGAATTTTGAGTCAAATTTTTGAACATATTGGAAATTTTCTTGCCATAGACTGGTTCAAAGAAAGAACACTTTGCAGGTGTTTTTATACACTATTGTGAACAACAGAATTCACTGCTTAGAGTTTTTTAATGTTTAATAATAATAATAATAATAACAATAATAGTAATAGGATAAAAAAGGACCATATTTCCAGTGCTGGGTTGCTCCTGGCCAACAGTCAAAGAACACGGAAGGGGGGAGTGGTGTGTAATAGACAAGTTGATTTTTATAGTGTTACATTGCTGATATGCATGCATATTCATGTGTTTCATGCATTATTCAAACATTCTTCTGAACTTTCTGATGTTTTGGGAACTCGTTTTCACCCTCTGGCTTATCTGCATGACATTCTGGGTGTCAGGTCAATATGTTTTATTTCTTCTTGTGTCTCCATGCTGCTGTTTCACATCCTCTGATGAGATTTGAGTATGCCCTCCTTAAATTTAACATGGTATTCTCTAATGTCCTCCAGTGCTCTGGTTTGTGTCATGGTTATCTCTTGGACAGGTTGGTGAGTGGATGGCCTTACACTTTTTTTTAGTTACACAAAAGCCTTTTTCACACCTTATGTTTTGCTGAGGTCTGTAACACAGTACATTAATCACACTATTATTTCCACAAGTGATACATAGCTATTATATTCATTACACTACTATTCTGTGAGCAATACAGTGCATTCTTAAGCTGATAGATTATATTAGACAAACATGCAGCTAAAAAGAGTTATAATTGATACGATTTCTAGATACTCATCATCAATAACAACATGCATAGGCTAATACATAAATGTGAAAGCCAGTATTATCTGGCCAATTTTCACACTACAAAATCCACGATTTTTTAATAGATGCACCCAAAAATGCTCCCAGTTTATTGCATCAAGGTATAGGTATTTTGTTTCTTTTAATTACTAGCAGAATATGTAGTCTCTCTTAGTTTAATGCATAACCCAGTTTGTTTTCCAGTAAACAATGTTTTATTAAATTTGATGTCTTGGTTAGACAGTTACCACTGATTACGTTTTCTGAGGTGTACAAGCCCAGGAAATGGCTCTCTTATTGCCATTACAATTTATCACTTGCAATTAATTAATTAAGTCTTCTGGCATGTATAGGCCTCTGAATTCCTAATTCTCTCAAGATATCATTCCTATTCTATGACATCCAATTATTTTCTAGTTATATCATAACCATTAAAAATACTTCATTGAATTTTGCTGTCCATCTATTCAGTAAGTTCTCTAAGGGGTATGGGTCGATAGAGTTTTTTACTGACACTCAGCCAACACAGATCTAAATCAAAACCAGCTAAAAAACCACAGGCAAATATGCCTTGACTAATCAAACATAGTTCATTATGAAATTTCTAAACAATCACAAAATTCCTGTGGCTAACTACCTCTCTGTCCCCTCCCTCCAGCCACATTCCCGGCTGGCAGCAGCAGCCAGAGGAAGCTGGGAGGCGCTGGCAGAGGGGGCAAAGGCGGCTCAGGGTTTACAGTGCTGTTTATTGATATCAGATCTCAGTGGGATGCAGGAACCAGGTGCCAGGGGGAATTCTGGGATCACAGCCCTGTTGGGAAGGATCCGTTTGGGGAACAGCGCTCTAGGACCCATGAGGGAGGAGCACAGCCCTGCTCCAATGTGCTCTGTGCGGAGCACTGTCCCACATGGCCCTTGTTACTGCCCCTGCTCCCTTCTCCTGCAGGAATAAAGGTGGAGGGTGATGCTAAATCACTGCCCCATGTTCCTGCATGGGGACAGTTGAAGGGCTCAACAGGCTCAGACCCCCGTGTCCCTGGTGGCATCATTACTGGGGGCAGTGCTTTCTTCTGGCTCTTCAAAGACCTTCTGCAGGCACTCCCTGAGGGACTCCATGGAGCAGCACCTCCAGCACTTTGTTACTGAGATGTAGATGAAGGGGTTGATGCTGCTGTGCATGCAGGCAAAGAGGAGAAGAAGCCGGGGGAACACAGCGGTGTAGCCGAGCTGCTGCAGGAAATTCCAGAGACTGAGGGGGAGAGTGAGGAGCACAGCGAGGAAGACAATGATGTCAAGATTCTTGGATCGCTGCTGCTGGGAGCTTCCCTTGAAATGAATGAACAGGATTCTGCTGGAAATGACCATGGAGGGAGCAAAGACGAGGAAGTTGAGGATGTACAGGGAGATGAGAGCCCCCCGGCAGAGCTTGCCTTCCTGTGACTCGCACAGGGAAGTCACTGCAGAAATGGCAGCAATGACAGTGATGGAAAGGGCCCAGAGCCCGGCACTCACCACCACCCATGACAGGTCCTGGGGAAGGTGGCAGAAGAGCCCACGTGGGCAGAGCACGGACCTGCACCTCTCGATGCTGATGGCTGTCAGCCGGTACAGCCCGACGCTGTAGAACATCCGGAAGAGGAGGAAAAGGAAGCGAATGTATGCTGGGGACATGATGGCGGAGCAGGAGAAATCCTCCAGCAGGAAGAGCAGAGCGGAGGGGACCATGAAGATGAGGAAGAGGAAGTTGATGATGGCCAGGTCAAGGTGGTAGGCAGTGATGGGTTTCATGGTTTCCCTCTGAATGCGGAACCCGAGGACCCAGATGACAGCCCATGAGGAAGAGGAAGTCGATGCTGGCCTGGTTGAATGCCACAAAGTAAGTGATGGCATCAATGTGGAGGAGCCAGAGGAATGCCCCATTCCCAGCCAGCCCACAGAGGCTGACGAGCAGTATCACAATGTGCATGGCCACGTTGGGGACACTGATGTCACACTGTGTGGTTCCATTGTTTGGTGAAGTGAAAAGAAGTGCTTCTCAGAAACAACTCCTGGGGTAGAGTTTCAGGATCATTGCCAAAACCTTCCGTGGCCCCAAGAAAGGAAACTGAGCTGAGAATTCCCATTTCTGCCATTGCAATGCAGGCTCACACAGCCCAAGGGAAGGACAGCACTCAGTTGCTTGCAGCCAGGTCATCAGCCCTTAGAGCCCACCCTAATTAGTGTCCTTTGATGATGCAATGAAAGCGATTAGGAACCTGATTTTAGGATGCTGTGATCCTCTTTCCAGCCCTTCATTAGAGGTCATCCTCCTCAGATCTGGGAACACTTGTTGTTTTTACCTGGTTGCTTTTACCTGACCCCAGCCCTCATGCCAACCTGTGCCAAGGGCTCACCACCCTCACAGGGAAGGATTTCTTCCCTAATATCCAATCTGACCCCACCCTCTGGCAATGGGAAACCATTCCCCCTTGTCCTGTCACTCCATGCCCATGTGCAAAGTCCCTCTCCAACTCATCTGGAGCCTCATCAGCTCCTGGATCATGAGGTGTTTGCCCTTGAAAGGATTGGGCTGGTGCGGGGATGTGAGATTCCATAGCTGGGGACACAAACACGGGGTCAGCAGGGAAGAGAGGGCACAGTTCTGGTCCTGGGGCCAGCAGTTTGCAGGAGGACCATCTCAGTTCCCTGAGGCACACGTCAGCCTGGGAAGGAATCATCTCACCTCAGCTTTCTAGGCATTTCTTGGAATTCACTGTAGGCTGCTGACTGACAGCCAAGGGAATGTAGAGGATGATTCAAATGAAACCTGCAACTTTTTAAGGATTAAAACCAAGAGAGCAGCATGGATTTGCCTCTTCTCAGAAGAAATGACATTGCTGAAATCCCAAATCATCCTTCTGCTGTGTGCCAGTGCTCCAGCTCAAGCACAGGAATTATTATTGCATGAATTCACTTGGAAACTGCATGGTGAAGGCCTGGTGCCATTGAAATTGTGGTATACAAGTGGGAAAACCATATTTGAACCAGAAATCAAAGTTTAACACCACATTTGTAGTGCAGGGGACTAAACAATGCTGTGCCTGTGTGCAGTGGTGGGAGCAGAGCTGTGCTCTGGCTCCTTGGCTGCTGCATCCACAGGAACCCCACCAGCACCTGTGTGCTCAGCCGGGCCATGGCTGGCTTCACCTTCCTGCTCTCCATCACCATCGCCCTGGGGATATTTTCTGTCCCAGAGAGCTTCTGCCACCAGCTGGGCTCGTGGGGTGTGACAGCTGGGCTGAAGGTCACCATCCCCTTGGCTCTCCCTGCCTCTGCCTCCTCTCTGACAGCCCTCAGTGCTGTGACAGCTCTGTTTGTCCTCTCCGTGTCCTGCTGGCCCTGCCACCACTCCCAGCACTTCCCAGTGCTCCTGTGTGCCCTGCTCTGGCTGCTCTCCTTCCTGCTCACTGCCACCCTCCATTTCTGCCCTTCGCTGCTCATGGCCTTGGTCCTGAGCTGCCTCTTCTCAGTGCTCACCCTGACCTGTTCTGCTCTGGCCCTGCTGGCCAGGCTCCTGTGCTGCTCATGGAAACAGCCCCCAGGGAAGCTCTGTGCCCTGCTCCTGCCGCCTGTTGTCTCCTTCCCCTTCTTCACTGCTGATTTTGGGTACTGGCTCTTGCTGAGGGCGTTTGACTTCTCTGCTTTTGCCCCCAGCACCCCTCTCCCGCTCGCCTGTGCCAAGAGCAGTGCCCAGCCTGTGATTTACTTCCTGGCTGGGAGCTGTGCAAAGGAATTCACCCCCTTTGCTAGTGTTGCCTTCCAGAGGGCTTTTGAGGATGTGCCAGAGCCAGGGCATAAGGAAAACACCGTGGAACTATCATCAGGTGGAATCATCAAGAAACTGAGACATCATAAAATAGAACCATAAAATATCCAAGTTAGAAGGGACCCACAAGGACCATGGAGTTCAGCTCCTGGCCCTGCGCAGGACATCCCAACAATCCCAGCCTGTGCCTGAGAGCATTGTTCAAATGCTCTTTGAGCTCTGTCAGGCTGGTGCTGTGTGCAGCAGGGGAACTCCTGCCTGGGGTGGTTGTGGATGACATGAGGAATCCTCATGGAATGCTTTGGGTTGTGTCCTGGTTTAGGGTAAATTTGGGAGGAAACCTTCAAATGGGATCCCTCTAGTAAACAAGTTCAAGCAGTCCCTCCCCCAGCTGGGTCAGGAAAGGATTTCCTTAGAGGAAAGTGGAAAAAACTGTTTATTTAAGAAGCAAAGTATTCAAAAGCATAAAAAATGAAAACAATATTAAACAATAAAATCTGTTGCTGTTCTGAAGAGTTGTCAAATTCAGAAAGTCCTTGTTGTGGAGTCTAGTTTGTCTCACTCAGTCTCTTATCAGTCCCTCTGGTGCTGGCAAATGCTGTGTGCCAGGCCCCGGTTGGCCACAGGTGGGAGCTGCTGCCGTTCTTCTGAGTTTTCAGTCCCGAGCAGGTTTGAACAGTTCCAGGAAAAAGAAAAACCACAGTCCAGGGAACTTCTCTGCCTCAGCTAGCTAAAAAAACCTAAAAGCAAAGGAGAGCTCTCTGTTGCATGTCTGTGCTGCTGACAGCACGGTCTGGGAGCAGGAATGTGCAGGACTGAGCACAGCTCCTGAAAACAAACTGCCCCATCTTCTCTCCCCCTCTTTGCTCTAGGAACTAATCTTAAACTTATGCAAAGTTTAAATGGGCAAAACCTATTTCTGGGTGAAACAGTCAAATGGGGATTCAATTCAGCATCATGAAGTCTCCCCAGGACAGCTTGGAAGGAACGGTAGAGATCATCTCATTCCATCTCTCCTTCTTCCATGGGCAGGGACAACCAGGAAACCTTTGGCTTTGAAGTCTTGCTCTTCGGAAAGGAAGCTCAGGGAGGGAGTGTCCTGGGTGACAATGGAGACAAGGAAGGTGCTGGGAAGCAGGAAAAGTATATTGGAGGGTCACGATCCTCCTGCACTTGCCTTGGCAGGGATGGCCTGGCTGAGTTGTTCTTCCCTGGACAACAGGTTATACCTTGGAAAGTTTCTGCTTTCCAATGAGCAGGAAATAGGAGATAGGGAGACAAAAATCCTCTCCGATGTCAAAGTCTCTCTCTTCTGTTCATTATTAACAAATCTGTGAATAAATATTCCTTAGCTGTTTCACCTTAACCTTTAACCTATCATCAAAGCCTGTCTCACCACCCATGGCTTTCACTCTCACCTCCCTTTCAAGAAGCAGTGGCACGTTGGTTTCCCCTGGATTTACGGCAGTGGGAAAAGGAGGGACAGCTTCCCCCTGAGCAAGAGATGTGGCTGCTGCCCAGGTCTCTCCCAGGAGGAATCAAGAGCTCTTGGCACTGCCAACATCATCCCAAGCATTGCAGACACGTGCCTTAGGTAGGGCTCAGGTATGAGACAGGTACCTGCCCTGCTCACAGACAAGCCAGAGGCTTTAGAATGGGATAAAATAAGGAAATGAGCCATTTTGGACACTAACACAGGCTCTGCAGTGAAGCCTGGTTGTTGTTTATTCAACAAACTCAGAGGCTGGGACAGGAGGAAAGCCATGCTCCAATGTGCTCCCTGCAGAGCATCACACAAAAACCACCCAAGGCAATGCCCGTGCTCCCTTTTCCTGCAGGAATACATCACCATGGAGAGGGTGATCCTGTGGATATTGATTAATCTGGAGACTCAAGGAAAACTTCAGTCACACTCCTGGGGTCCTCCAGCAGAGCAATGGAAGGGATCAACAGGCTCACACCCCTGTGTCCATGGCAGGATCATTGCTGTGGGACATTTTTTCTTTTGGCTCCTCAAAGACTCTCTGGAGGGAGAGCTGGAAGGACTGCACAGAGCAGGGCCCCCTGCACCTCCCTGCGAAGAAGTAGACAAAGGGTTTGATGCTGCTGAGGATGCAGGTGAGCAGGAAAACCACCTCTGAGGACACAAGGATGTAACCGAGCTGCTGCAGGAAACTGCAGATGTTGAGGAGAAGAGTGAAGAGCACAGTGAGGTCAATAACAATGTCGCGCCTCTTGGGTTGCTGCTGCTGGGAGCCCCACTTGGACTTAATGAAGTCAATTGTGCTGGAAATGAACAGGGGTGCAGCAACGAGGAGCAGGATTATGCTGTACACGGAGATGAGAGCTGCCCGGCAGTGCTCCTGCTCGTGTGATGGGCACAGGAATATCACTGTGGGAATGACAGTGAAGAGAGCAAAGAAAGCCCAATACTGGACAGTGTCCACCACCCACAACAGGCGCAGAGGAAGGTCCCAGTGGCAGCAGAGCTTGCAGAGCCTGTACATATACAGTACAGCACTGCCGGGCATCAGCCGGAACAGTCCCCAGTAGCAGGAGACCACTGAGAGCTGGAAAACGAAGTTCATATACAACAGGGGCAAGATAGGAGAGCAGGACAAATCCTCCACCAAGATGAGGAGGGCGAAGGGGACTGCAATGAGGAGGAAGAGGAAGTCAATGACAGCCAGGTCAAAGATGCCTGCGTTCCTGCTTTTCAGGCTGAGGAGGCCGATGACAGCCCCGTTCCCAGCCAGACCACAGAGGCAGATGAGCAGTGTCACACTGTGCATGGCCACATCGGTGACAGCGATCTCACACAGATCATCTCCTTCAGCAGGCGAGGTGGGAGATGGAGATATGGTGCTCACCTCCATGGATGGATGATGGGCAGGCAGTGGGATGTGGCCCCTGGCTGTGGTCAGAGTGGATGGGCAGTCAGTGCTTGGAGAATCCAGGGATGGACCATGAGGCTCCTCAGCAGCTCCCTGCAGTGGGAAGGATTCAGTGGGGAGGAGTGAGACGTGCAGAGAAGGAGGGCGGTGGAAATGGTGGGGTGGGAAAGGGAGGTGGAAGGGTTGGGCTGGTGTGCAGGGGATTGATAAATAACAGAGAATAGCATTTTCAACTCTCCTGAAGTTGCTTAAAGACTAACTGGTCAAATAGATAAAAGGATGTAAAGATGTGGACCCAGGATGATAAACGTGGGTGGAGCCAGTGCAGAAACGGATTAGGAGGTCCGTAGTATTTTTAGGGTAATTTCTGTAAAAAGAAGCAAGAGCACGTGGCCAAAGGAAAAGTTCAAGGCAAGGTCACCTTTAATATCACAGCACTCAGTGAATACAGCCACCCGAAGCCCCTCTCAATTAACCTCCAGTGCCATCAGAGGACTCCCAGTAGGAAGCGGATGCATGGAAATGAGTTCTAGGAAAATGGTGTTTACATTTATGTTTAAGGAGTTCTATTGATAAGAAAAACTTTTTAATGTCTATGTATGGTTATAATGGAAAAAAGCATTGTTGTAAAGTATCACAATGCTCACAGAAATAAGGGGAGATCTTTCTGTGTGTCCTGCTGCCTAATACCTCACTTGGTAACACCATTAGTTTATGTCAGGAAATTTTTTCTGCCTGATTTGGTATAATTTGTCATCCATCCCGTCCCATCCCATCCCATCCCATCCCATGCCATCCCATCCCATCCCATCCCATCCCATCCCATCCCATCCCATCCCATCCCATCCCATCCCATCCCATCCCATCCCATCCCATCCCATCCCATCCCATCCCATCCCGATGGTTTCCCAGTCAGAGGCCACTCCCGGGCTGCACGTGTGGCCTGTTGGGCTCTGCTGCTGTCCAGTGGGAGATTTGGGATTGGTGGCACCCAGAGCCCTCCTGCCCCCTCCAGCCCCTGTCTGCCTGATGCCTTGGGGTGGCTCCCAGGGACAGAGGCCAGACAAGGGGAAGAGAATAAAAGCAGGCATTTCTGAAAGGCCTTCAGAAGGTTCACCTTGGGCAGTGAAAGCCTCCGAGAGGAGCTACACCCAAAATGGACAATGGTGACGAGTTTTTCAGACAGATATATGTTTGGTCCATTAACAAACCAGGGGTTAATCCTCCAATTTCAGCTTCAGGTAATGGAGTCATTTACCCCCAGTTTGCCCACCCCCAATTCACTTTTTTCTTGACTTTTCCAGCCTCAGTCAGCAGAGTGCGTGCACTGTTGGTGGGAAGAAGGGTGGGGCTGGGGGAAAAAAGGTGTTTTAAAATTTTATGTTACATCTCATGATCATCCTCTGCCTCTGTGAATAATACATTTACTTAATACCATTACATTTGAACCTGGTTTTGTACTCTTGGAGTGTTTTTTCTCCCAGTCCTCAAGTCATGAGCCCGTTGTTAATTTTTGTTTCCCTCTCCTCCCCCAGCTGACAGCAAGAGAAGGTGAGCAAACAGCTTTCCCGGGTGCCTGGTGTTTGGCCAGAGCCAAACCACGACAGGCTTGCAGGACTCCCCCTCCCCTTGCAGCTGAACCATCCGAGCCTGCTGAGGGAGAGGCCAAAGCCAGGGCAGAGGGAGAATTTCTGAAGGCACAAAACCAGCAGCAAGGACATCAGTAAAAACCAGGTTTAATATAAAGCAAGAGCACACCAAAGTGCTGTCCCTGTGTGTGTGTTTGTGTGTGTGTGTGTTCAAGGGCCAGAGAAAAAAGGACAGTGAGGGTAAGGATTAAAAGGAAAATGGCCCAAAACCTTTATAGCGCTCAAACTTAGAAGTGCTTCAGTTATACATTAATCTTAGCAATTCAGCGGAGAAATATCACTTAGCAGCATTTAACCTTATTTATGCCTGATACTTGCTTGCAGGCCTGACCCACTCAGATGTCTCAGGCACTAACACGCCTGAGAGAGCAGCATTTGTGCCACATTTGCCACAGCAGCTGCACACGGGTGTGCACAGAGGCAGAAAGAGTCAGTGCAAGGTCCCTTGGCCAAAATTTAAAAGGATGTGTTATGGATGGATAATGGGATGATTGGATCTCACAGTTAAGGAATGAATAGTGTTTGAATATTCATAGAAGCTTCACTGATGAAAAATTATGTTATTGTAGTCAGTTAAGATGTCCCCTGTGCTCTCCATAGGCCCTTTCCCCACCTCTGTATTGCTGCCGTTACAGAGCCTGAGTCATCCATGACAGGTAGAAAAAAGGGGTGTACAAAGTTTGTTGCTGGGGGGGAGGTGCAGCATGGCAACACCTGGCCCTCCAGTCAAGGTGCAAGAAAGCAGGCTCCACCAATACACACAAAGAAGAGTTGGCAGACAGACTTTGGGAGGGGCAACCCCCGGGGCTATCAAAGGAGAAGCATCCATCTTGCAGGTGAACCAGCCACGTGGTAGGCAGCCATGAGGGAAGCTCCCCGGCCTACTTCTCCTTATTTACTCCTTTTGCTGTATTTTTTGTTCAGGTTTAATAAACCTTTAAAAATTTTAATAAATGGAGTGTGGGGGGTGAGGTGAGTGCCCTGCGGGGAAGTTCTCCAGGCTGCAAGGGGAAACAAGGGCAGACTCTTCTCATTCACCTTAATCAGTGCCTCCTCATTGAGTGGAACCTGGTTATTGATTTTTGGAGCCAGAATTTAGGTCTGTAGGGAATGAAAAGCTATAAATATTGTGGGAAAAGGGAGGGAATATTGAATTGAGTGTCCTGCTGAAGGACTCCAGCAGCTCAGTGATATCAACTGGCACAGAAAAGGCAAACTGAAGTGCATCATCAGGATGTAGAGGGATGGTAAAAAACCAGTTTTTGAGGTGTAAAATCACTAAGAGCCAATTGAGGGGAATCATTGTGGGTGATGGAAGCCCAGGCTGCAGAGCCCCTATAGGTTCAATAACTGCAGTTAGTGCCCGTAGATCCTGTAATAATTGTCACTTGCCATTTTGCTTAGGTATACAGAATATAGGGGTATTTCATGGGCTAGAAGATGGACAGATATGGCCTAAGGACAAGCATTCTTCCATAAGCTGTTTTAAATTTAGTAGCTGTTCCTTTCCTAGGGGCCATTGGTCGACCCGCACAGGGTCTTCAGTCTGCCATGTGAATTTACGTATGTCCAGTATTTGATTTTGGAACGGCTGATCAATGGCCCCTATGAAAAAGGCCCTCCTGTGAGGTTGAGTCTATTTGTATGGTTGTTACACATTGTCCCAGAACATCTCTTCCCATAATGTGCATGGTATAGAGGCAATAATCAATGGTGCAGTCCAGGCAGTTTGCCCATCAGGGCCAAGGACAAGCCAAAGGTGAGCGCTCTCTCTAGGGCATTGCAACCCTCCCACCCCAATTAGGGTTGATGTGCAGCTGACTGTGGGCCAATTACTAGGCCATTCATTACTTTTAATGATAGAGATATCAGCTCCACTATCAACAAGCCCTTCAAATTTTTTGCCATCTATAGCGCATGTTAAAGTTGGTTGAGCTGCTGTAATAGGACTTGTCCAGAAAATCTGGGGCTGACCTGTGCTGCCAAAGTTACCTGTGGCACATTTGCCCTTGCCATTAGGGGTTTTGTAGAAGGGAACAAGTTGTGCTGTACGTTGACCTGCAGGTATAAAGCAGGGTGGCATAGGGGTCCATAGTATAATGTGTATTTGGCCCTCATAATCTGAATCAATAACTCTGGGCAGTACAAAAAGTCCCAACCTGGTGGTGGAGGAACAACCATATTAACAAAGCATGAATGCTATTACCAAGGGGTCCCCAGACTCCAGCAGGAGCTAAATGTACCAAAGATGTCATTAGAGTTATGGATTCTCTGGAGGCAAGATCCAGCCTGGCACTGCCTGCAGTTGTAGGCAGGAGCTCGCTTGCTAAAAGTCTTGTCTCACTTATTTTTTGATTCTCTGGGGCATGAAGACTGGCCCTCAGTTGGAAGCTTCCTGGCTGTGTAGCCTTCCAATTCACAGGGCACTGGGAGTGGCAGTCAACAGCCCAATGCTTTCTCCTTCCACACCTGGGACAATCTTTAGATGGTATTTTAATCCCATCCCCTTGTTGAGGGCAATCCTTTTCAAAATGACCCATCAAACCACATTTAAAAGAGCCTCCCGCCCATGTGTCCGGAACTCAGAAGTGCGCGGTTAAAGCCACTGCCAGATAATTAGTGTTGTAAGCAGTAGTTCCCACATTTTGGCGTGCTCTGCTGTGTCACAAGTATGTGGGTTATGAACAGTAAGCAATGATTTTCTGCAATCTTTTTTTGTGTTTGTAAAAGCAAGCAGCTGCAACAGAATAATTTTGGCCTCAGCACTGTCAACCTGCTGGGAGAGCGCAGCTTGCAGTCTGTCCAGGAAATGCACGAACTACTCCACTGGACCCTGTAAAATCTTAGCAAACAACAGGTTAGAATTGATACCCGTCCCTGGGAGTCGCTGCAGGGCCTGCAGGGCTGGGTGAGCGATGCATCACAGGGGTAGCCTGCCTGCACTGCAGGAACTGCAAAGGGACCCTCTCTGGTCGGCTGCACAACAGCAACTGGTGCATTTCTGTCCTGCAGCGCTTCTGCCTGGGCTGTACACAGCTCTCGGTAACCTGAGCCAGACTGCAAACTTCATCACTGTTAGGATCATTTTCATTATGGTTTTCCATTATGCTTCTTGTGCGGAGGGAGGATATACATGCTCCTGATGGATTGTAGGTAGCTTAGGGTGAGATGGGAGGATATGCTGCTTTCTTTTACTAGCAGCCTCTGATCTGTAATTACTTTGTAGTCTAGCTCCTGATGTGCCAGCTGATGGTTCAGAGCATATATTTCTGGGCAGGCTGTAACGACCACCAAACTGCCCTCCTTCATGGTGGCTTCCTGTTGTTTTTGCCAGCGCTGGACTACTGCATTGCCATCTTGGGCAGGAAGTGAGCCCGTGAGAGTTCTCTGCCAAGGGGTCCTGCCATGCAGGAATTTTTATATGCCAGCGCTGGACTACTGCATTGCCATCTTGGGCAGGAAGTGAGCCCGCCGCCCATTCGCGAGATGAGAGTTCCGTGCCCAGGGGTCCTGCCATGCAGGAATTTTTATCAGGGTAAGGCAGTCCTGCGGGGCCTGGGTTGATCTCGGGGTAAGGCAATTCTGCACGGTTTGGATCAATCTCGGGGTCGTATACGGGTCCTGGTGGCACTGAGGGTTTGGAGGATCAACGTCCGAAGCTGTCAAATGGCCGACATTCGCGTGACTTCCTTTAATGGCCGCCATGATTGTCCCCCATGTAGCAAGGTGTCCGCAAGCTTTGGCATCACTGTCCCTGGCGATATCAAAAAGTCTCTGCCGTACTGCTTGCCAGGTTGCTGATCAAAGCGGCCACTAAAGGGAAAATCTTTAACTTGATTAGATACTCAGTCCAAATCACCCAAGGCAATGCCCGTGCTCCCTTCTCCTGCAGGAATACACCACTATGGAGAGGGTGATCCCATGGATGTTTATTAATCATGAATTCCTGAATAATATCAAGGAAAACCCTCAGCCTCTGTGCTGAGGTCCTCCAGCAGAGCAGTGGAAGGGATCAGCAGGCTCAGACTGCTGTGTTCCTGGTGTCATCATTGCTGTGGGCTGTTTTTTCTTTCTGCTACTCAAAGACCCTCTGAAGGTAGAGACGGAGGGACCCCACTGTACAGAGCCTCCAGCAGCTCGCCATGGAGCAGACCCTCCAGGAGCTCCCTGCCAAGAAGTAGATGAAGCGTTTGATGCTACTGTTGATGCTGGCGAGCAGGAAAACAGCCTGGGAGGGCACATCAATGTAACCGAGCTGCTGCAGGAAATTGCAGAAGCTGAGGAGAAGAGTTAACAGCACAGTGATGTGGATAACCACGTCACGCCTCTTGGGCTGCTGCTGCTGGGAGCCCCACTTGGCCCTAATGAAGTCAATTGTGCCAGAAATGGCCACGGGTGCAGCAAAGAAGAGCAGGATACTGGTGTAAAGGGAGATGAGAGGCACACGGCAGTGCTCCTGCTCTTGTGATTGACACAGGAATATCACCGAGGGAATGACAGTGAAGAGAGCAAAGAAGGCCCAGGACTGAACACTCCCCACCACCAACCACATTCGCTCAGAAAGCTCCTTGCGGCAGCGCCGTAGGATCTTGTCCATATACTGCACAGTGCCACCAGGCCTCAGCCAGAACAGCCCCCAGTAGTAGGAGACCACTGACAGCTGGAAAAGGAAACGCAGGTACAGCATGGGCATGACAGGAGAGCAGGACACGTCCTCCACCAGGAAGAGGAAGGCAATGGGGACTGTGAGGAGAAGGAAGAGGAAGTCAGCGACAGCCAGCTTAAAGATGCCAGAGTTATAGCTTTTCAGGTTGAGGAGCCAGAGGACAGCCCCGTTCCCAGCCAGCCCACAGAGGCAGATGAGCAGAGTCACACTGTGTGTGGCCATGGTGGATACATCTGTCTCACACAGATGGTCCCCTTCAGTGGGTGAGAGAGGACGTGGGGACACGGTGGTCACCTCCATGGATGGATGCTGGGCAGGCAGTGGGATGTGGCCCCTGGCTGTGGTCAGCGTGGATGGGCAGTCAGTGCTTGGAGAATCCAGGGATGCAGCTCCTCAGCAGCTCCCTGCAGAGGGAAGGAAACAATGGGGAGGAGTGAGATGTGCAGGGAAGGAGGGCAGTAGAGATTCAGGGGTGGGAGAAAGAGGTGGGAGGGTTGGGCTCTTTGAGCACAGGGCAGAGGAGGGGGACAGGGGAGGGCACTGCGGTCACCGGGAGAGGGTGGCAGGAACAGAGCAGCTGCTGCAGGAGAGGAAGGTGGGGTAGGGAGGAAAGAAACCATTCCACTGACCTGTTCTCTGTGGGGCAGCAGCAGGCAAAGGGGTCTGTGAGGATCAGCGGCGCTTCCTGCTCCCTCTTGCTCCTTTGGGATCCATGTCCTAAAGCGGCTCCTGGCAGGTCAGTGACATGAAGGAGAAAGTGCCCAGATCACCAGGAGCTCCCCATTCCCATCCTGCTCACTCTCTCCGTGTCTGGTCCCGCCGTTTTTTCACAAGGCTCGGTGCAGTAAGAGGGCAGTTGGAAGGGGTTGTACAGCTTCGGCTTGCTCAGAGTTCCACAGGCTCAGAGTTATTGACCTCGGGTTTTTTTGTTTTCCCTATGAATCAAGTGGTCTTTTTCTTTGTTGTGAGCAACGACGCCTCACTTCTGAAAATTTTTAGAAGTTTATTAAACTATAACAAGGGACAAGGTAAAAGGAACAGTGCTCGGTGCCCACTCGCAGCCAGAGGCACGGCCAGAGGCACACTGCCCAAAATCGTAAAAGGCTTTCTACCCGCTTGCTAAGCCACTCCCCTGGTAATCCATCCCCCACATGTTCCGCTTTTCCAACACAGCTCCTCCTCCGTCCCGCCCTCCCGGAGCTTGTGCAGCGCTTCAGGCTTGGACTCCCCGCAGTGGTCAGAGATCAGCATAACAGCTTTCAACATGAACATAGTACTCACGTTAGAAAAACTCCAAAGCTTAAAAAAAACTTCAAAAAAAATGACAGATGCTCCTTGTGATCCCAGCCCCGCTCCTGCCATCGAGAGGCACCAGCCCCGCAGGGATTTGGGAAATCACTGCCACCCCATGCTGGGTGTGTCCCCAGGGATAAGGTGTCCCATGCTTTGCAGGCAAGAGCTCCCTGAAAGCACCATGAAACTCATCTGCTGAGCCAAAGGAGATGGAGTTCATTCCCTGGGGCCGAGGCCATGAGGGTCATTCCATGGGGAATAGAGCTGGGGAACAGCACTGAGCCCAGCTGCACTGCTTGGAGCCATGTGGATCCAGGAGGGAGGAGGAAAGCCATGCTCCAATGTGTTCCCTGCAGAGCAGCCCACAACAATTACCCAAGGCAATGCCCGTTCTCCCTTCTCCTGCAGGAATACACCGCCACGGAGAGGGTGATCCTGTGGATATTGATTAATCTGGAGACTCAAGGAAAACTTCAGTCACTCTCCTGGGGTCCGCCAGTAGAGTTGTGGAAGGGATCAACAGGCTCAGACCTCTGTGTCCATGGGAGGATCATTGCTGTGGGCCATTTTTACTTTTGGCTCCTCAAAGACTCTTTGGAGGGCGAGCCAGAGGGACTGCACGGAGCAGGCCCTCCAGGAGCTCCCTGCGAAGAAGTAGATGAAGGGTTTGATGCTGCTGTAGATACAGGCGAGCAGGAAAACCACCTCTGAGGACGCAGCAATGTAACCAAGGTGCTGCAGGAAATTGAAGATGCCGAGGAGGAGAGTGAGGAGCACAGTGAGGATGAGAACGATGTCGAGCCTCTTGGGTTGCTGCTGCTGGGAGCCCCACTTGGCCTTAATGAAATCGATTGCGCTGGAAATTACCACGGGAGCAGCAAAGAAGAGCAGGATGATGGTGTTCATGGAGATGAAAGCTGCCCGGCAGTGCTCCTGCTCATGAGAAGGGCACAGGAATGTCACTGCAGGAGTGACAGTGAAGAGAGTAAAGAAGGCCCAGTATTGGACACTGTCCACCACCCACAACAGGCGCAAAGGAAGGTCCCAGTGGCAGCAGAGTTTGCAGAGCTTGTCCATATACCGCACATTCCTGCTGCGCATCAGCCAGAACAGCCCCCAGTAGTAGGAGCCCACTGATAGCTGGAAAAGGAAGTTCATGAACATCAAGGGCATGATGGGAGCACAGGACACTTCCTCCACAAGGATGAGTAGGGCAGAGGGGACTGCAAAGAGGAGGAAGAGCAAGTCCATGACAGCCAGGTCAAAGATGCCAGCGTTATGGATTTTCAGGCTGAGGAGGCCGATGACAGCCCCGTTCCCAGCCAGCCCACAGAGGCAGATGAGCAGTGCCGCACTGTGTATGGCCACACTGGTGACATCTGTCTCACACAGATTGTCTCCTTCAGTGGGTGACATGGAAGATGGGGACACGGGGCTCACCTCCATGGATGGACGCTGGGCAGGCAGTGGGATGTTGGGAGGGGTGTGGGTTGGGCTGCTTTGCAGGGGATTGATAAATAAGAGAGTATAAATATTTTCAACTACCTGAAGTTACTTTAAAACTAACTGGGCAGAAAGATAAATGGATGTAAAGATGTGGACACATGTTGATAAACGTGGCTGGAGGCAGTGCAGAAACAGATAAGGGGGCCTGCAGTGCTTTTGGGGCAAGTTCTGTTACAAGAAGCAAGAGCACATGGCCAAAGGAAAAGTTCAAGGCAGGGTCTCCTGTAACATCTTAGTACTCAGAGAATGAGACCACCAAAAGCACCTCTGAATGATCTTCCAGGGCCATCAAATGATGCCCAGTAGCAAGTGGATGCATGGAAACGAATTCTAGGAAAGTGGTGTTTATGTACTAGGTAAGAAAAGTTTTTTAATGTCTCTGTATGGTTATAGTGGATAAAAACACTGTCGTAAGCGGCCTGGAAAGGGGCTGGGGATGCCCCAGCACAGGGAGGGTGACACTGTGGGCATTTACTGACCAGGAGACTCAAGGAATCTCTCAGCCACTGTCCCAGGGACCTTCAGCAGTGCAGTGCAAGGGATCAACAGTCTCAGCCCTCTGTGTCCATGGTAGGTTTAGTGCTGTGGGGGACTGGCACTGGGAAGTCACTGTGGGATTGACAGCGGTGACAACAAACAGGAGGACCCAGAAGAGGACACTCATCACCACCAAAACCAGTCGCTCAGGAAGTTGGCAACCACAGAAAAACAAGCATAGGATGGACCTGCACCTCTGAATGCTGATGAACATCAACCGGTACAGCCCCATGGTGTAGGAGAACAGTGACAGATAGAAAAGAAAACTCAAATACATCAGGGGCATTATAGCAGAGCAGGACACTTCCTCCACAAGGAAGAGCAGGCTGGAGGGGACCATAATGATGAGGAAGAGGAAGTCGGTGATGGCCTGGTTGAAGACAAAGTCGGTGTTGGGATTAATGTGGAGGAGCTGGAGGAAAGCCCCATTCCCAACCAGCCCACAGAGGCCGATGAGCAGGGTCACAATGTGCATGGCCACGCTGGAAACATTGATGTCACACTGACCAGGCCCATCGTTGGGTGAGGTGAAGAAAGGGGACACGGTGCTCACCTCCATGGATGGACACTGGGCAGGCAGTGGGATGTGGCCCCGGCTGTGGTCAGAGTGGATGGGTAGTCAGTGCTTGGAGAATCCAAGGATGGACCATGAGGCTCCTCAGCAGCTCCCTGCAGAGGGAAGGATTCAGTGGGGAGGAGTGAGATGTGCAGGGGAGGACGGTGGTGAAAATGATGGGGTGGGAGAGGCAGATGGGTGGTTTGGGATGTTCAGCAGGAGGCAGATAAATAACATAGAGAATAAACATATTCAGTTCTTCTGAAGTTGTTCAAAAGCAAAGTGGCCAAAACTTAAAAGGATGTGTTATAGATGGATAATGAGACGATTTGCCCCCACAGTTAAGGGATGAATAGTGTGTGAATATTCACAGAAGCTTTATAGATGTATAATTATGTTATTGTAGACTGCTGTGTAGATGTCTCCTCTTCTCCCCATAATCCCCTTTTCCCACTGTGTACTCTTTCCATCACAGAGCCTGAGTCATCCATGACAGGTAGAAAGAAGGGGCGTACAAAGTTTGTTGCTGGGGGGGGGAGGTGCAGCATGACAACACCTGACCCTCCAGTCAAGGTGCAAGAAAGCAGGCTCCACCAATACACACAAAGAAGAGTTGGCAGACAGACTTTGGGAGGGGCCAGGTTTAGCTGATGCAACCCCCGGGGCTGTCAAAGGAGAAGCATCCATCTTGCAGGTGAGCCTGCCACGTGGTAGGCACCCATGAGGGAAGCTCCCCGGCCTTCTTCTCCTTATTTACTCCTTTTGTTGTATTTTTGGTTAAGGTTTAATAAACCTTTAAAAATTTTTAAAAGTGGGTGATTGTTTCTCACAGGATGTAAAGGCTGGCACACAGGATGATAAACGTGGCTGGAACCAGTGCAGAAACAGATAAGGAGGCCTGCAGTGGTTTGGGGCAATTTCAGGAACAAGAGGCAACAGTGCATGGCCAGAGGAAAATTCAAGGCAAGGCCACCTTTAATATGGCAGCATTCATTGAATATGACCACCAGAGAGACCCCTCTTTATAAATCTCCAGGATCATAAAAGGACTTCCTGGAGGAGGGGGATGCATGGAAATGAGTTCTAGGAAAATGGTGATTATATTATAGAAAAGAAAAACTTTCAATGCCTATGTATGGTTATAATGGATTAATACTCTGTTGTAAAGTCTCACCATACACACAAAATACAAGACGAGATCTATCTGTGTCCTGTGCAGGTAAAGAATTCCTGCTTCCTCATGCTTTGCATTGTGTTAGAAAGTTTGTTCTGGCCCTTTTCACTACAAGGATAGAGACGGGATGCAGAGGAGAAGAGAGGGCTTGGGGAGGGCACTGCAGTCACCAGGAGAGGGTAGCAGGAAGAGAGCAGCTGCTGCAGGAAAGGAAGGTGGGGTAGGGAGGAAGGAAACCATTCCACTGACCTGTTCCCTGTGGGGCAGCAGCAGGCAAAGGGGTCTGTGCAGATCAGCGGTGCTTCCTGGTACCTCTTGCTCCTTTGGGATCCATGTCCTGAAGCGGCACCTGTCAGGTCAGTGACATGAAGGAGAAAGTGCCCAGATCACCAGGAGCTTCCCATTCCCATCCTGCTGGCTCTCTCTGTCCCCTGTCCTGCCACTGTTTTGCAAGAGTCGGCAGGAGAATCGGAAATTAAATCTTTGGCTACGTCAGAATTTCACTTCCTGGGAGTTATTTGTCTTGAACATTTTTCCGGCCATACAGGAAGTAGCTCGACATGCAGATTTCTTTGAATGGCTTCTCATTTCCTCCTGACTAGAAACTGTTTTGAAAATGGGACATTCTCCAAATGCTTTCCCTCTCTCAGCAAGTTTCTACCATTCCTCCTTTATCTACCCTGAGGGGTCATTGTCCCTCCAGCAGCAGAGAGCTGCTGGTGCTGCTGGTGGCGCTGGAATACTGGCAGTGCTGGAAGTGCTCACAGCACTGTGCAAGCATCTGAGTGCTTCTCAGAAACAACTCCCATTCTGGGAAAAGGTCTGGGATCATTGCCAAAACCTTCCCTGGCCCCAGGAAAGAAAACTGAGCTGAGAATTCCATTTCTGTCATTGCAATGCAGGCTCACACAGCCCAAGGGAAGGACAGCACTCTGTTGCTTGCAGCCAGGTCATCAGCACGTAGAGCCCACCCTAATCATTGCCAGTCTCCTTGATGATTCAATGAAAGCTATTACAGACCAGATTTTGGGGTTTTGTGATCCCCTTTCCAGCCCTTCATTAGGGCTCATCCTCCTCCTCCTCAGACATGGGAGCACTTGTGTTTGTTTTTACCTGACCCCAGCCCTCAGGCCAACCTGTGCCAGGGCCTCACCACCCTCACAGCAAAGGGTTTCTTCCCAACTTCCAATGTGACCCCTCCCTCTGGCAGTGGGAAGCCATTGCCCCTTGTCCTGTCACTCCATGCCCATGTCCAAAGTCCTGTCTCCACCTCTCCTGGAGCCCCTTTAGCTCCTGGATCATTAAGTGTTTGACCTAGAAAGGATTGGGCTGGTGGGAGATGTGAGATTCCATAGCTGAGGACACAAATGTCGTGTCAGCAGGGAAGAGTGGGGACAGTTCTGGTCCCAGGGCCACCACACATGCCAGTTTCCAGGAGGAGCATCCCAGATCCCTGAGGCACACGTCAGCCTGGGAAGGAATCATCTCACCTCAGCTTTCTAGGCATTCCTTGGAATTCACTGTAGGCTGCTGACTGAATGCCAAGGGAGTGTAGAGGATGACTCAGAGGAAACCTGCAACTTTTTAAGGATTAAAACCAAGAGAGCAGCATGGTTTTGCTTCTTCCAGAAGAAACAACATTGCTGAAATCCTAAATCATCCCTCTGCTCTGTGCTTGTGCTCCAGCTCAAGCACAGAATTTATTATTGTATGAATATCTTAGAAACGGTGTGCTGAAGGTCCAGTACCACTGAATTTGGGGTATACAAGTGGGAAAACGAGTTTCAAACAGACATCAAAGTTTAACAGGACATTTGTAGTGCAGGGTCTTAAGGATCAACCCCAGGAACGAGAGGGTGCAAGTTCAGGCTGTTCAAAAGACAAAATTTTGGTATTGGGGTTGCTTTAAAACAGAAGAGAAGCTGCCATGGAGACAAACTGCTTTGGCCACAGGTCTGGCTGCTGAGGCTCTCTCCTGTTGCTCATTTCCTGGGCAGAGTGAAGAGCAGATGAGGAGCAGAGCCCTGATCCCGTGCCAGGCTCTGAAGCAGTTCCCTGCTTGTGAGAGCCCTGGAGCACACGAGGCAGCAGGGAGAGCAGGGGCTGTGGCAGGAGCTGGGACAGAGCCCGCGCCGGACGCTGCTCGGGCTCAGCCCGCGGCCTTCGCTCCCCTTTCCAAGGGACCATTGCAGGAACCTGCTGAAGATCCCGACCCAGGGACAGCAGCTGGAGTGTGGGGGGTGAGGTGAGTGCCCATTGAGGAAGTTCTCCAGGCTGTGAGAGGAAACCAGGTCAGACTCTTCTCATTCACCTTAATCAGGGCCCCCTCATTGGGTGGAACCTGGTTATTGATTTTTGGAAGCAGAATTGAGGTCTGTAGGGAATGAAAAACTATAAATATTGTGGGAAAAGGGAGGGTATATTGAAATGAGTGTCCTGCTGAAGGACTCCATCAGCTCAGTGATATCAACTGACACCTGAGAGTCCACGTCACATCCAGCCCAAAGCCATTTGTTCTCTGATACCTCCATGGGCAATCCTCTCCTTCTCCAGTTGTTTTCCTCCTCCAGCTCTGTTGTTTCCACAGCCAAGAAGGAGGTATCTCCCTGGCTTTTGTGCCAGGCATACCAGACCAGGCTCCCACACCGTACTTGCCTTCTGTCCTGTCCCTCACCCCTCCCTGAGCTGCTCCACATGGATGCTGTGGGTGGGAAAAGATGGGAAAGCCACATTTGGGGGACAGCAGCGTTGCTCTGGTGTCTCTGTTTGTCACCCCTCCAGCTGTGTGAGGGGGGGAGAAGCAGCAGAGGTGTCACCATGAGCACTTTGTCCCCTGCCACGGAGGGAGCCAGCCCTGCCTGCTGGAGCCAGCCCGGTGGGAAGGCATCCAAGGGGAGCTGGAATGAGGAGAGCCACGACAACTGGACTGGGTGTGAGAACAGGCACTGGAGCAAAGTGCCTGTCACACTGCTGCTGCTGCTGCTGTGCCTGTGTGCAGTGGTGGGAGCAGAGTTGTGCTCTGGCTCCTGTGCCAACAGCAGTGCCCAGCCTGTGATTTACTTCCTGGCTGGGAGCTGTGCAAAGGAATTCACCCCCTCTAGTAGTGTTGCCTTCCAGAGGGCTTTTGAGGATGTGCCAGAGCCAGGCCATAGGGACAACACAGTGGAGTCATCATGAAAGGGAGGCATCTTAAAATAAAGCAATAAAATATCCAGAGTTGGAAGGGACCCACAAGGACCATGGAGTTCAGCTCCTGGCCCTGCACAGGACATCCCAACAATCCCAGCCTGTGCCTGAGAGCATTGTGCAAATGCTCCTTGAGCTCTGTCAGGCTGGTGCTGTGTGCAGCAGGAGAACTCCTGCCTGGGCTGAATGCTGAATGATGTGAGGAAACCTCATGGAATGGATTGGGTTGGAAGGTACCTTAGAGATCATCTCATTCCATCTCTCCTTCTGCCATGGGCAGGGATACCCAGGAAAACTCTTGCTTTGAAATCTTTGCACTTTTGAAAGGAAGCTCAGGTAGGGAGTGGCCAGGGTGACACAGGAGACAAGGAAGGTGCTGGGAAGTTGAAAAAGTCCATTGGAGGATCATGATCCTCCTGCACTTGCCTTGGGAGAAACCCCCTGGCTGAATTCTTCTACTTGGGACAAGAGGTTTTACCTTGGAAAATTTCTGCTTTTCAACAGACGGGAAAACGGGAGACAGGAAGAGAAAAACCCTCTCAGATGTCAAAGTCTCTCTCTGCTGTTCATTATTAACAACTCTGGTAATAAATGCTTCTTAGCTATTTAACCTCATGTGTGCCTCAAAGCCTGACTCACCACCCAGAGCTTTCACTTTCACTTTCCTTTCCAGAAGCAGTGGCACGTTGCTTTCCCCTGGATTTAAGGCAGTGGGAAAAGGAGGGACAACTTCCCCCTGAGCAGGAGATGTGGCTGCTGCCCAGGTCTCTCCCAGGAGGAATGAGGGGCTCTTGGCACTGCCAACATCATCCCAAGCATTGCAGGCACCTGCCTTCGGAAAGGCTCAGGTATGAGACAGGTACCTGCCCTGCTCATAGACAAGCCAGAGGCTTTAGAATGGGATAAAATAAGGAAATGAGCCATTTTGGACACTGTTTAACAGGTACAGGCTCTGCAGTGGAGCCTGGATGTTGTTTATTCAACAAATTCTGGGGTTGGAATTACCACAGTAGAAACAAACAAAAACCAGAAATCCAAATCTGATGGCAACGCAGTTACAAAATGACAAAGCTCAGCAAAGCCTGGCCTGTGGCTGAAGCCGCTGTGCAGTCGCTGTTCAGCTCCTCCTGAGGGTGGCCAGGTTCAGGATGGAGGTGGTCAAGGGCTTCCCTGGACACTGATGCTGGGGCCCCAGAGGATGGATGGCCCCATTCTGCAGAAGAGTAGCAGAACCCCCTAATTTCCGTGCAATTAAATGGTCCAAATATCTGCTGATGGGAATTTCCATACTCCATGTATTTTCTGGATACAGGCAGAAGGGATCAGTGGAGTTCACTATCAACCCTGCACTTTACTCAGAAGGCTTAAATTCTGGAATTAAAAAATGTGAGGAATTCCCACTGAAAGGATAAGGGAATGTTGCTGTCTCTCCCCAGCTCTGCAGCCCTACCTGGTGTCCCTTCCCATCAGCTGGGAATGCAGGGCTGGCTCTGCCAGACAGAAGGGGAGGGATGCTGCGTGTGATCCCAACCCCTCTCCTGCCATCCAGAGGCACCAGACCTGCAGGGATTTGGGAAATCACTGCCACCCCGTGCTGGGTGTGACCCCAGGGATTAAGGTGTCCCATGCTTTGCAGGCAAGAGCTCCCTGAAAGCACCATGAAACTCATCTGCTGAGCCAGAGGAGATGGAGTTCATTCCCTGGGGTCGAGGCCATGAGGGTCATTCCATGGGGAATAGAGCTGGGGAACAGCACTGAGCCCAGCTGCACTGCTTGGAGCCATGTGGATCCAGGAGGGAGGAGGAAAGCCATGCTCCAATGTGCTCCCTGCAGAGCATCCCACAACAATCACCCAAGGAAATGCTCCTACTCCCTTCTCCTGCAGGAATACACCACCACAGGGAGGGTGATCCTGTGGATATTGATTAATCTGGAGGCTCAAGGAAACCCTCAGCCACTCTCCTGGGGTCCTTCAGCAGAGCAGTGGAAGGGATCAACAGGCTCAGACCTCTGTGTCTGTGGAGGAATCATCGCTGTGGTCAGTTTTTTCTTTTGGCTCCTCAAAGACTCTCTGAAGGGAGAGCCAGAGGGACTTTATGGAGAAGGGTCTCCTGCACCTCCCTGCCAAGAAGTAGATGAAGGGTTTGATGCTGCTGTGGAGGCAGGTGAGCAGGAAAACAGCCTGGGATGACAAAAGGACGTAACCAATCTGCTGCAGGAAATTGCAGAAACTGAGAAGGAGGGTGAGGAGCAGAGTGAGGATGACAACGATGTCGCGCCTCTTGGGTTGCTGCTGCTGGGAGCCCCACTTGGACTTAATGAAGTCAATTGTGCTGGAAATGATTACGGGTGCAACAAAGAGAAGCAGGATGAGGGTGAACATGGAGATGAGCGGCACACCACAGTGCTGCTGCTCGTGTGATGGGCACAGGAATGTCACTGCAGGAATGACAGCAAAGAGAGCAAAGAAGGCAGAATATTGGACACTCTCCACCACCCACACCAGTCGTTCAGGAAGGTCGGAGTGCCAGCAGAGCTTCCAGAGCTTGTACACGTACTGCACATTGCTGTTGAGCATCAGCCGGAACAGCCCCCAGTAGCAGGAGACCACTGACAGCTGGAAAAGGAAACGCAGGTACAGCAGGGGCAGGATGGGAGAGCAGGACACGTCCTCCACCAGGAAGGCGAGGGCGGAGGGGACGGCAAAGAGGAGGAAGAGGGAATCGGCAACAGCCAGGTCAAAGATGCCATAGCTGGGGATTTTCAGGTTGAGGAGGCCGATGACAGCTCCGTTCCCAGCCAGCCCACTGAGGCAGATGAGCAGAGTCACACTGTGTATGGCCACCTTGGTGACATCTGTCTCACACAGATCATCTGCTTTGGTGGGTGAGATGGCCGATGAGGACACTGTGGTCACCTCCATGGATGGATGCTGGGCAGGCAGTGGGATGTGGCTCCTGGCTGTGGTCAGAGTGGATGGGCAGTCAGTGCTTGGAGAATCCAGGGATGGACCATGAGGCTCCTCAGCAGCTCCCTGCAGTGGGAAGGATTCAGAGGGGAGGAGTGAGATGTGCAGGGGAGGAGGGTGGTGGAAATTGTGGACTGGGAGAAGGAGGTGGGAGTGTTGGGCTGTTCAGCAGGGAATGCAGAAGCAAAGCTCAGGGCAGAGGAGGAGGGAGCTGGGGAGGGCACTGCAGTCACCGGGAGAGGGTGGCAGGAACAGAGCAGCTGCTGCTGCAGGAGAGGAAGGTGGGGTAGGGAGGAAGGAAACCATTCCACTGACCTGTTCCCTGTGGGGCAGCAGCAGGCAAAGGGGTCTGTGCAGATCAGCAGCACTTTCTGGTCCCTCTTGCTCCTTTGGGATCCATGTCCTAAAGCGGCTCCTGGCAGGTCAGTGACATGAAGGAGAAAGTGCCCAGATCACCAGGAGCTTCCCATACCCGTGCTTCTGGATCCTCTCCGTACCCGGTCCCGCTGTTTCACAAGGCTCGGTGCAGTCACAGAGCAATCGGAAGTGGTTTTACATTTTTGGCTTCCACAGAGTTCAACAGCCTCTGAGTTATTGATCTTGATTTTTTTTTTTTTAATTTTCCCTGCGAATCAATTGGTCTTTTTCTTTGTTGTGACAGACGACACCTTTTGGAGCCTTGTGGATCCAGGAGGGAGGAGGAAAGCCATGCTCCAATGTGTTCCCTGCAGAGCAGCCCACAACAATCACCCAAGGCAATGCCCGTGCTCCCTTCTGCAGGAATACACCACAGGGAGAGTGATATGTGTGGATATTGATTAATCTGGAGACTCAAGGAATCCCTCAGCCTCTGTGCTAAAGTCCTTCACCAAAGTGGTGGAAGGGATCAGCAGGCTCAGACCACTGTGTCCCTGGTAGCATCATCGCTGTGGTAATTTTTTTCTTTCTGCTTCTCAAAGACCCTCTGGAGGGAATCTCTGAGGGCCCCCACTGTGCAGTGCTTCCCGCAGCTCGCCATGGAGCTGGACCTCCAGGATCTCCCCACGGAGTTATCGGTCCTCCAACTCCCCACCAAGAAGTAGACAAAGGGTTTGATGCTGCTGTTGATGCTGGCGAGCAGGAAAAAAAACTGGGATGGCACAACAATATAACCGAGCTGCTGCAGGAAATGGCAGAAGCTGAGGACGAGAGTTAAGGACGCAGCGATGTGGATAACCACGTCACGCCTCTGGGGCTGCTGCTGCTGGGAGCCCCACTTGGCCTTAATTAAGTCAATTGTGCAAGAAATGAGCAGGGGTGCAGCAAAGTGGAGCAGGATGACGGCGTACATGGAGATGAGAGCTGCCCAGCAGTGCTTCTGCTCTTTTGAGGGGCACAGGAATGTCACCGTGAGAATGACAGTGAAGAGAGCAAAGAAGGCCCAGTATTGGACACTTTTCACCACCAACCACAGGCGCTCAGGCAGGTCCCAGTGGCAGCAGAGCTTGCAGAACTTGTACATATACTGCACATTGCTGATGGGAATCAGCTGGAATAACCCCCAGTAGTAGGAGACCACTGACAACTGGAAAAAGAAATTCTGATACAGTAGGGGCATGATAGGAGAGCAGGACACGTCCTCCACCAGGAAGAGAAGGGCCGAGGGGACTGTGAAGAGAAGGAAGAGGAAGTCGGCAACAGCCAGGTTGAAGATGCGATAGTTACCATTTTTCACTCTGAGGAGGCCGATGACAGCCCCGTTCCCAGCCAGCCCACAGAGGCAGATGAGCAGTGTCACACTGTGAATGGCCACGGTGGTGATGTCTGCCTCACACAGATCATCTCCTTCAATGAGTGAGGCAGGATTTGGGGACACGGTGGTCACCTCCATGGATGGACGCTGGGCAGGCAGTGGGATGTGGCTCCTGGCTGTGGTCAGAGTGGATGGGCAGTCAGTGCTTGGAGAATCCAGGGATGGACCATGCAGCTCCTCAGCAGCTCCCTGCAGTGGGAAGGATTCAGGAGTGAGATGTGCAGGGGAGGAGGGGGGGTGGGAATGATGGGGTGGGAGAGGGAGGTGGGAGTGTTGGGCAGTTCAGCAGGGAATGCAGAAGGGAAGTGCAGGGCAGAGGAGGGGGGAGCTGGGGAGGGCACTGCGGTCTCTGGGAGTCTCTGTTCCCTATCCCAGTACTGCTTGCAAGGCTTGGTGGGGTCATAGGGCAGATGGAAGTTGTTTGCGACTTTGGATACGTCAGAGCTCCACTCCCTCAGTGGTATTTATCTTGTTTTTTTTTTTCTTTGTCACAAAGGATTTGGCTTTGTCAAAAGCTCCAAATGAAATATTTTGCAAATGGCTCCTCATTTCCTTTTGATTAGAAACATTCCTTCCCTGCAGAATATCTCATTCTCCGACTGCTTTCCCTCTCTCAAAAGGTTTCTACAACTCCTTGTTTCTCTTCTCTGAGGGGTGAGTGGCCCTCCAGCAGCAGAGGGATGCAGGTGGCACTGGTTGCACTGGAGTGCTGGCAATGCTGGCAGTGCTGTTGAGGCATGTGAGTGCTTCTCGGAAAGAGCTCCTGTTCTGGAAAGAGTTCTGACATCTTTGACAAAACCTGGGCCCAAAGCACCACAACTGAGACAAGAATTCACATTTTTGTCATCCTACCACAGGCTTACATAGCCCAAAGGAAGGACAGCACTCAGTTGCTTGCAGCCAGGTCATCTGCCCTTAGAGCCCACCCTAATTACTGCCAATCCCCTTGATGAGGCAATGAAAGCTATAGAGATCAGATTTTGGGGTGCTGTGATTCCCTTTCCAGCCCCTCATTAGAACTCATCCTCCTCAGACATGGGAGCACTTGTGTTTGTTTTTATCTGATCCCAGCCCTCAGGCCAACCTGTGCCAGGGCCTCACCACCCTCACAGGGAAGGATTTCTTCCCAACATCCAATCTGACCCCACCCTCTGGCAGTAGGAAGCCATTCCCCCTTGTCCTGTCACTCCATGCCCATGTCCAAAGTCCTGTCTCCACCTCTCCTGGAGCCCCATTAGCTCCTGGATCATGAGGTATTTGCCCTTGAAAGGATTGGGCTGATGGGAGATGTGAGATTCCATAGCTGGAGACACAAATGTGGTGTCAGCAGGGAAGAGAGGGCACAGTTCTGGTCCCAGGGCCAGAAGATACCAGGAGGAGGATCCCAGATCCCTGAGGTACCTGTCAGCCTGGGTAGGAATCATCTTAACACAGCTTTCTAGGAATTCTTTGGAATTCAATGTAGACTGCTGACTGAATGCCAAGGGAGTGTGGAAGATGACTCAGAGGAAACCTGCAACTTTCCAAGGATTAAAGCCAAGAGAGCAACATGGATTTGCCTCTTCTCAGAAGGAATGACATTGCTGAAATCCTAAATCATCCCTCTGCTGTGTGCTCCAGCTCATGCACAGAATTTATTATTCTGTGAATCCTCTTGGAAACTGTGTGGTGAATGTCCAGTACCACTGAAATTGTTGTATACAAGTGGCAAAATTAGATTTGAACCAGAAATCATCGATTTTGTCCTGCAGAATCCTAAAAGTTCACCAGTGGAATGCAAGGTGGCGATTTGAGCCTGTTCAAAGACAAGATTTGAGGATTAGGATTGTCAAGAGGAACCTGACACAGAGACAAACTGCTTTTCCTAGAAGGAATGAGGAGCTCTTGGAACTGTCAACACATGGCTCATTGCAGACAATGCAGACACCAGCCTTAGGAAGAGTTCTGGTGTGAGACAGGTACCTGCCCTCCTCACAGACAATCCAGAGGCTTTAGAATGAGAAAAACTAAGGAAATGAGCCAGTTTCTGATGCTGTTTCCCAGGGACAAGCTCTGCAGCAAAGCCGTGATGTTGTTTATTCAAGAAAATCTGGGGCAGGAGTTACCACATTGAAAAGAAACAAAAGGAAAAAATACAAATCTGATTTAGGGGTAGTAACAAAATGAAAAAGATCAGTACATGAGAGTTTATTCCTGGGGGCCAAGACAATGAAAGTCATTCCAAGGGGAATATAGGAACAGGACTGAGCTCAGAGCCATGTGCTTCCGTACATTTTGCTGTCTCTGAGGTGCCACATCTCCCGGAGCCACATGTCCAGAAGTGCCTCACAGAGCTGTCACCTCCACCACAGTGTCCCCAGGGCCGTGGCTCCCCTCGTCGCTCCCGGCTTTCTCCTCAAACACGCTCCGCAGAGCCACTCTGACGGAGCGCTGGAAGCGGCGCCGCCGGCAGCTCCCCACCAGCACGTAAATCACCGGGTTGAGGGTGCAGTTCAGCAGTGCCAGCAAAAAAGAGGGGTGTCCTGGGAATAAACCACCAGAATCAGGGAGATTGAGGAAAACCTCCACGCAGAAAGGGATGGCAAAGGCGAAGAACAGCAGGATGTTGAGCAGGATGGCCACAAAGAGCTTCCCTGGCTGCCGCCTCCGGGAGCCACAGCGCAGCTTGAGGAACAGGAACAGGTTGGAAACCAACATCATGAGGGAAAAAGCCACGGAAATGGCGAGGGCCACACCTGCAAGGACGGTCTCAGAGTCCTCCGTGTAGGTGTAGGTGAGGTAGAGGGAGGAAACAAAAACGCCGGCGAGGGCCCAGAGGGGCAAACACAAAATGCCGATAGTGATGAATAAAAGGAAGCAAAGATGTGCAAAATGCCACTACGGACAGAAAAGCCAACAGAAGCAGGAGGAACAGGAGGAGCAGGGAGAAGTCAGCAACAGCCAGATTTAGGATGTAGACAGTGAAAGGGCTCTGCTTTGTGTGGAAGCCCAGGAACCACAAGACCACCCCATTCCCTGCCAGCCCACAGAGGGAAATCCCCAGGCACACCTCTGCAAAGGCAATCAGGCTGTAGGGAATGCTGGAGCATTCCAATCTGATCATTTCCTCCCAGTCCAGAGCTCCATAAGCGGTGTTGTTCAGGGTGAGGTTTGTTGTGCTGTTCTCCTCCATGGTGAATGATCCTGCTCCCAGCAGCTGCCTGCTCCCTTTCCCACCGCCTCCTAGGGACAGATGGGGAACCAGAGGGAAATAGGGGACATCAGCACTCCCAGCATTTCCCATCTGTCCACACAGCCCCATGCCAGCCCCAGGAAGAACCCCCACCCCTGCAGTGCCCAGGACAGGCTCCCAGCCCTCCAGCCCTGACCCTAGACAGGAATCTCCCACTAGGCCATCCCTGCACTCCTACCTCCAGCAGGAACAGCGCTGACACAGCAGCACGAGGGGAAAGGATTTGGGGATGGCTGCTGGATCCACTGGCTCTGCTTCAGCCTCAGCCCTCGTGCCTGGGTGCAGCCCCTGGCCCAGAGATCACATCCCATGGTCAGAGCTCCCCACACAATCTCCTCACATCAGTGACAGCTTCCCCTCACATGTCCCAGGGACACAGATCTTATCAGGAGGAGGTGGCCACATCATCCCTTTCCTCTGCCACTCTCCATTGTCATCCCACCATGCAAGGGGCTTCTGGCTTTCTCTGTGTGCGCCAGGTAGTCCATGCATCAATACAGAAGGGGATATAAATCATTCCCAGGGATGGAGGTTGGCAGAGGGGTGAGAGAGATGAGCCAGAGACCTTCAGGAGTGAGAAATCACTGATGTGCTGACATGCAACAGCAAAAGTTGCTCAGTGTCTTTACTGACATGTAACTCGTGGTCACAGACTTTTTCCAACTTCCTTCTGGGAGAAACTTCCAGGAGTTGCACCTTTTTCCATCTCCCTCTCATGGATGGATGCTGAGCCTAAGTTCTCTCCTTGTTTCATGTCTTCCTCTAGCTCCAAATTCTGAAGCTCCAGGCTGGACAGCCTGGAGAGCACATGGACCTTGTGCATTTACACATCCATCAGTTCTGGGGATGACAAGCACAGGATACAACTCCAAAGGAGATGGAAAACACATGAAAGAGGGGCAGAAAGTAAGCAATAAAATGCCAGTCCCTGTGCTGTGAAAGGCTGAGGTTGTGTGGCAGGAACCATTTGGAGATACGAGTGCTCTGGTAGCACCATGTACCCCACAAAGCTAATCTCTGAGGAGACACATGCCCAGCAGGGGTGATTAGGCTGATGATTGGATTAGACAGGATGGGGTTAGAGGCTGTGGGCAAAGCCCTCGTGCAGTCCCATGTCTGGGCACTAGTGATTTCCCACAGCAACTGGATACAAAGACAGTGCTCATCCCCATGGCTGCTGCTCAGGGGTTCTGTTGGCATCTCATGAGGTCTGGAATTTCTGAGGGATTCAGAAAACCCAGCAGTAGCTGAATGGATCATAGTGGAGTCCTCCTTCCATGGACAGGATGTGCCCTAACCAGAGTAGGGTTTGACCCAGGATTCCCAGCACCCGAAGGGACATAACACTATCTGTGCTGTCCTTTCATTTTCATTGTTTTAGATCCAGTAAATGATGTTTAAAATTCGAAAGTTGGAGTGCCTGCATTAATGGGATCATAACAGATCAGCAGCGCCTCATTAAGAACTGGGGGAAGGAGAGGAAGGCAACGACATGGCCACCTCCTCCTGATAAGATCTGTGTCCCTGGGACATGTGAGGGGAAGCTGTCACTGATGTGAGGAGATTGTGTGGGGAGCTCTGACCATGGGATGTGATCTCTGGGCCAGGGGCTGCACCCAGGCACGAGGGCTGAGGCTGAAGCAGAGCCAGTGGATCCAGCAGCCATCCCCAAATCCTTTCCCCTCGTGCTGCTGTGTCAGCGCTGTTCCTGCTGGAGGTAGGAGTGCAGGGATGGCCTAGTGGGAGATTCCTGTCTAGGGTCAGGGCTGGAGGGCTGGGAGCCTGTCCTGGGCACTGCAGGGGTGGGGGTTCTTCCTGGGGCTGGCATGGGGCTGTGTGGACAGATGGGAAATGCTGGGAGTGCTGATGTCCCCTATTTCCCTCTGGTTCCCCATCTGTCCCTAGGAGGCGGTGGGAAAGGGAGCAGGCAGCTGCTGGGAGCAGGATCATTCACCATGGAGGAGAACAGCACAACAAACCTCACCCTGAACAACACCGCTTATGGAGCTCTGGACTGGGAGGAAATGATCAGATTGGAATGCTCCAGCATTCCCTACAGCCTGATTGCCTTTGCAGAGGTGTGCCTGGGGATTTCCCTCTGTGGGCTGGCAGGGAATGGGGTGGTCTTGTGGTTCCTGGGCTTCCACACAAAGCAGAGCCCTTTCACTGTCTACATCCTAAATCTGGCTGTTGCTGACTTCTCCCTGCTCCTCCTGTTCCTCCTGCTTCTGTTGGCTTTTCTGTCCGTAGTGGCATTTTGCACATCTTTGCTTCCTTTTATTCATCACTATCGGCATTTTGTGTTTGCCCCTCTGGGCCCTCGCCGGCGTTTTTGTTTCCTCCCTCTACCTCACCTACACCTACACGGAGGACTCTGAGACCGTCCTTGCAGGTGTGGCCCTCGCCATTTCCGTGGCTTTTTCCCTCATGATGTCGGTTTCCAACCTGTTCCTGTTCCTCAAGCTGCGCTGTGGCTCCCGGAGGCGGCAGCCAGGGAAGCTCTTTGTGGCCATCCTGCTCAACATCCTGCTGTTCTTCGCCTTTGCCATCCCTTTCTGCGTGGAGGTTTTCCTCAATCTCCCTGATTCTGGTGGTTTATTCCCAGGACACCCCTCTTTTTTGCTGGCACTGCTGAACTGCACCCTCAACCCGGTGATTTACGTGCTGGTGGGGAGCTGCCGGCGGCGCCGCTTCCAGCGCTCCGTCAGAGTGGCTCTGCGGAGCGTGTTTGAGGAGAAAGCCGGGAGCGACGAGGGGAGCCACGGCCCTGGGGACACTGTGGTGGAGGTGACAGCTCTGTGAGGCACTTCTGGACATGTGGCACCTCAGCGACAGCCTGAAGTATGGAAACAAGGGCACTCCAAGCCGTGCAGCCAGGCTCGGTCCAGTTCCCCCGCTGTGTTTCTTCCCCATGGAAGTACCTCGCTGCCACATCCATTGGGAATAAACTCTGTGGATGAAGCAAAGTCTGCAAAAATGGGCAGAGCAAGGGGTGTTGGCTTGGGCATGGTGGGATTTGGGTGTAAGGGGGTAAGAGATGGGTGAAAATTGCAATATGGCTAAAAGGGAGAGGAAAAAGAGAAAGAGAGAGAAAGGGGAAATGGAGAAAGGAGGATAATGAGAGAAAAATATAGAAAAAATACAACAAAGGAAAAAGACAACTACACAAGAGAATGAATGGGAAAGAAACAAACAAAAAAAAAAGAAAGCACGTGAGAAAGTAAAAAATAAATTTTGAGAATGACAAAGGATTCACTTGGACAGGACAGATGAAGAAGGATATCCCCGTGTGTTAAGTCCCCATAAATAGCTGGGAGCCGGTCCTGCTCCCTCTGGAGTCATTGGAGGAAATGTTATTCACCTAAGCACAGCAGTGTTATACCAAAAACCATCTGGAATTAGCTGTTATGAAATAAATTTGGCTTTTCTGTCCTTTTTCAGTAGACACTGACTGGAAGGTTCTTCCTGTGCCTTAAATTTTAAAAAAATTATTTATCTGAGTTTACATTCTGTGTGTTTTTATCAGCTGATAAATCAGGTAACAACAAAAACAACAACTTTCAATACTATTTTTATCCCTTTGGGGGGGGAAAAAAACAACAAAAAAGAGAATTCTGGTCTTTTTAACAATACAAAAATGTTTTGTTTGTCCCAATGATAAAAACATTTGAGATATCAAAAAGGGAATATTTTGGACATGAATTTGTGAGTTTTTTCAAAGAAAATTACCCATATTGACTTTTTCTAATAACTTTGGTTAAAAGAATAAATGTTAGGGAGTCTGATAGAACAAATAATACCATTTTACCCTTCAAAGGATTTGGTTTAGAGAATACTTTGTTGAAAATAATGGTATTTATTTACCTTGTTCTGTTTCCTGTATTTTTCCCACTATCCTTTGATTTATTTCTATTGGTAAAGGAGATTTTAAAGCCATGGATTCTGATGTGTCCTTTTAAAGTAAGAAATTACAGCCCAATGCATTGTGTAGATAAATGCAGAGACTCTGCCAAGGGCTGGAGGAAATCAAAATAACATGCAACAATATAATAATATAAAATACTAATCTCCAGTCACGTATTTCACTTTGAAATACAAGACAAGTGAGGATGAAACTCAGTGAATAAATTTTTAAAGCAAGTTGGAAGGAGTTGAAACCCCCTTCTGCTCTGTGATGTGGAAACATCCCTGGTTCAGAGAAGAAATGGACTTGGTGGATGTGAATCTTTTCAGTGCTTGAAATGCCCACATTAGGAAGCCCAGAATGGCTCTGTGAGCCACAAAAGACTGTGTGTGTGCTCTGACATGGGATGGGAGTTCTGAGTTAAGAGGGATAGATGGATTCTCCTTCCAGGAATTTTATGTCTGCTTCCAACAGGAGGATTGTTGGTACCGATTTCATTTTCAGAGATCTGAGTGAAAAGCAACACAGAATTTATGAGTTTATTAATAACAAGGATTTATCCTGAGCAGGATTTCTTTGATGAAATTCAGACACCAAGACATTTCAGCCTTATCAAATTAATATTATGTAGTAGTCATTGGAAAGAAACAGGAAATTTTAATGTGTCCTAAATACAGGTCAGGTAAATCCTATGGTTCAGCTGCTTCTGTGCCATATGGGACACTTGAAATAATAACCCAAAGAGGGTCTTAAGAGAATGGGAACTTAAAATAATGACCTAAAATATCTACAAAGAGGGTACTGAGGGTCAGGTGAGGTGAACTTCCCTCAGTACCTCAGAGTTCCTCAGTTCTGCCGAGACATTCCAGGCAGGATTTTAGGAGGACATGGTTATCGTGTCCCGCGTTTCCCGCTCATCTCTGTCATCTGCTGAGTCTTGGAAGGCCCTCTGGAATGCCAGCCTGAGGGTGAGCCTGAATTTGCGATCCCTGTAGCTTCCCACCAGGAAGTAAATGACAGGGTTGAGGGTGCTGTTGACGCAGGACAGCACAAAGCCAATCTCTGGGGAATACAGGAACTTGAGGCCCAGGAAGTCCAGGAGGATGAGGACACTGAGGGGCACGGCAAAAATGAGGAAGAGGAGGATGGTGAGCATGATGACGGTGAAGAGCCGGCCTGTTTGGAAGGGCTGGGAGCTGCACTTGACCCGCAGGAAGAGGGTGAGGCTGAAGAGCAGCATGAGGGGCGCGCAGACGAGGAAGTCCAAGGCTCCGATGGCGATGAGCAGGCGCTGGCAGACCCTGCGAGAGGGGCGAACGGTGCACAGAACATATCCCAGAGTGTTCAGGAGCAGGGACAGGGCCCAGAGCAGGCCGGACACCACGGCAGACAGGTGCTTCGGGCGGTGCGTCCGGCACCAGATGGGGGACAGCACGGACAGGCAGCGCTCCATGCTGATGGCCGTCAGCAGGTACAGGCCCGTGCCGTACATGAAGAGATCCAGGAAGAGGAATATCCCGAACTGCACGCCCACGTTGAACTGCATCAGGTACTGCACGGTCTCCACGGCGATGCACAGCAGGTACCCGAAGTCAGCAGCCGCCAGGTTCAGGATATAGACGGTGAAGTGGTTCCTGCGGATGCGGAAGCCCAGGTACCACAGGACCAGGCCGTTCCCCACCATCCCACAGGCAGCACTCAGCAGGCAGAAGCTCTCCATGAACTTGAGGACAGCGTAGGATGGCTCGGGTTGTCCCACAGCCCCGCTCTGGTTGGTCCCAGGAGCATGGATGGCTGTGGTTGGAAGGATGATTGGTGGGGTTGAGGGTCTCATAATGGGTGATTCAGACCTGGGAGCAGAAAGGGGAGCGGTGGTAACTCCAGGGTGACTTTTCCTTGGTTTGTTCCAGGGCTATGTAGCTAGAACTTGATTTCATGGAACCTCAAAATAAATTGGTTTGGAAGGGACCAAGAACCTAGAGTAACAGGACAAAGGGTAAAGGCTTCACACTGACAGAGTGTGGGTTTAGATGGGATATTGGGAATAAATTCTTCCCTGAGAGGGTGGTGAAGCTCTGGCACAGGTTGGCCAGAGAAACTGTGGCTGTCCCATCTGTGGAGGTGTCCAAAGCCAGGCTGGAGCACCCTGGGATAGTGGAAGGTGTCCCTGTCCATTGCAGGGGGCTGGAACTGGATGATCTTTAAGGTCCCTTCCAGCCCAAAGCACTCTGGAATTCTGTGATAGTTTTTTATATTGATGAGTGATTTCTATTTTAATAAAGTGCCATTTGATGTGGTTCTCCTGGGTCCCATGTACAGTAACAAATAAACATTTTGGTCTGGCAGAGCCCTCAGCTTCTCCCTCAGAAGCTGCAAGAACCACATGTAAGAAACCACAGGTTATCTCATCCTCACAGGACACGAGAGTTGTGGCTCTGATAACTTTTCCATAGGTTAAGTGACTGTTTCCTTCCCCATGGTACTGAGAGAAATTGAGAATCTTGGGGGTGAAAAAAAATGGGTTTAACACCTTTTTTATGGTCTAATGAAATCAAATACAGTGGTTCTTCTGCTGTCTCCCAACCAGTTGTTAATTTGACATGGAAGGCAGAGAAGTTAAAAAGAGGATAGGAACAAAAGACGGGGTTTTCTGGGAAGATGTGAATCACTGACCCAGCATGAATCTTCTGTTCTCTCTTTGTGGTGCAGCAGCACACATGGAGACAGACTTCCAAAAGCACCCAGAATGTGACAGACTGAATCACTGCTGTTCCATCCCAGCACTCCAGGCACACTGACCCCATGGACAGAGGGAAAAGAAGTGTTTAGTGCAGGGAATTTCAAGGCCAGGTAGGATGAGGCTTGGAGCAACCTGGGCTAGTGGAAGGTGTCCCTGCCCATGGCAGGAGGTGGGACTGGATGGGCTTTAAGGTCCCTTTCAGCCCAAATTATTTGAGGATTCTATGATTTCCTTTAGGATTGATTGAAACCAGGGAACTTCTGGCACTGCAGAGCTGGATGATCCCATCCTCAGCTTTTATGGCACCTTGAGCACTTCTAACATGAACATTGTGGAGAGCAGCCCTGAGGCTGTTCCTCCCTCACAGCCTGCTCCAGGGCTGGCCACAAATGATCACATTTTTTTCAGAAATTAGCAGAAGAGTTTTGTGCAGCTTTTCTTCTGCAAGAACAGAGGAAAGCCTGGTGGTTAAGTGGTTTCCTGGCTTCCGTGCAACCAAATTTCCTCTTGATCTGAAGAGAGTGTGGACATTTATTGTCACCTAAGTTCTGTCTGAGCCCACTGCAGCCTCCACAGGTGCATCTCTCTCCACTGGGGATCCAAGGAATGACAGGTGATAATTCCCAATGTTAAATGGCTTTGTGCCATTGATCATCTAATAGAATCATGGAATGGTTTGGGTTGGGAGGGATCTTAAAGCTCATCTTGTTCCAATCTCCTGCCACAGCCAGGGACACCTTCCACAGACCAGGTTGCTCCAAATCGCTGCCAGCCTGGCCTCAGACAGTTGCAGGAATAAGGCAGCCACAGCTCCTCTGGGCAACCTGTGTCTCACCACCCTCACAGAGAAGAATTTCCTCCCAAGATCTAATTCAAATCTACCGTCTTCCAGTTTAAAACAATTCCCCTTTGCCCTGTCACTCCAGGCCCTTCTCCAAAGTCCCTCTCCAGCTGTCTTGGAGCACCTTTAGGCACTAGAAGGTTCTGTATGTGCATAAAGACTGCCAGGAACAGAAATGGCTGCCATGGGTAAATGACAAAACATCAATAGTTTTGCCTTCTGCTGTAATAGAAGTGATGAAATCCCTCTCTTCTGCAGACCGTGAAGAGGAACACTGCAAAAGTCACTCATTATTCTCATTTATTTATCATATTCCCTTGGAAAGACTGAATTCCTGTTTCCAAGACACATTCAAGACATGGTTCCACTTCCTTATGTAACTAATAAGTGAAAACTCTCCTCAAACAGCAGCAGCCTGAGTCCAGGTGATCTTTTTCTCCCTTGAGATTAAACATCCTCCATGTGATTTGCCTGCAAATCTTGGCTGTAGTTCCTGAAGCAGAACAACCCTGACCCCACAAAGGTGTCTCAGACTATGGACAGAAAGTTCTTCTGCTGTAATGCCAGGTCTCTGAGTAATGATTTTTATATTACAGAGGTGCATTTAGAGCAGTTCAAGAGCACTTATACAGGAACAAAAGTCCCTGGAATGAAGCTTTCCTTATATTGAAAATTATACCATCAATCCCTGACCTACAGCAAATTTCTGTCCAGCAAAGGAAGTAAATTTTTTCTCTTTTTTTCCTCCATTGTTTTTGTTTCTCCTCCCTTCCCCAAAGCCTGACAAACCATCAGAGTGCAACATCAAAGACCCACCTGAGAATTTCTCACCTTCTTTGCGTTCCTGGGAATTTCAGCGCCTGTGCCCGGCAATGTTGTCCCCTGGATGGTGTGACGTAGGGTGCAGCTCGAGTCCTTGTGTCATCCTGCAGTGCTGGGCTGGGCAGCCACTGTTTAAAAAGCCATGGTGTTTTCAGCGTGACCCTCCAGGCAGCCAATCATTCATGGGGGAAATACCTCCCCTGTGTGGGCATGATCACTCAGATTTGAACCACTTCCCCCTCCCCTCTTTGCAGTGTCACGGAAACATTATTTTTTTACTACTTCTCCCTTCCTCAGCCATGAGTTCTTGCAAGAACTGTCCATGCAGACTTTGCACTGGTGTTGTGTCCTGCTTGAGGCCCTGAGATGCTCTGGTTTCACAGCCCCTGAAGATGAGGTTTTAGTGCTGCTCAGGTAGAGAAATTTTAAGTTCTCTCCCATAACATCTTTGCTGGATGTTTCACAATCTCCCTCAGCACTTCTCATTCCCTCCTGTCCCTCCCCACTTGTCACACACACACCACCACAGTGGGTCCTCCTCTGACCCGCAGCCTCTCCTAGCACAGTCCAGCACCTTATGGGATGTCTACTGCTTCATCCAACCTTGCACCCAAACCTTCCACCTCAGCAGTTCCAGATGCCCAAACCCTGCTCGTGCTGCCCTCAGCATGGAGCTCTGGGGTCAGGAGATCTTTCAGTGCACCTTCACACGCCACAGGTTTTCAGCACAGTCTTCAACACCTCAGGCACTTCCGATTTCACAAAATCCCTCCAGCCCCATGCCTTTCACTTCCAGTTTCACAAACTCCCCCTGAAGAGAGCTTCAGGCTCTTCCTCACCTTGTGTTTCCTAAACAGACAGAACCCACCACTACCCACCCACAACATCCCATCCTGTCCATGCACACTCCATGTCCATAATCCACCCCAATCCAAAGGGTGTGGAAACAGAGAAAACACATTTCTCCTTTCCTGACATCCTTACAGGGAACTGTTTTGTCCCTCAGTCCCTTGTGCCAGGGAAGTAAAGGGACAGGAGTGTGACCTGTGGCCACCCAAATGGCTGCCATGTGTGTCAGTGAGCACAGGAACGGGCAGATCCAGCCCAAATTTGCTTAGCAGGTCAGAAATGCGTTTGTACATCTTCAGCTTCTGTTGTCATCTGTTCTTCCTCTTCCTTTCCCAAAGATTTTAAGACTGTTTTTACTTTCTTACCCAATCCTATTTCCTACAGTGGTTACTGGCAACCCTCATTAACCTGGCCAGGACTTCAGGCTATGGCATAAAATGATATTTAAATTAAAATACTATTTTTATCCAGAGCACTATTTAATCTCCTCATTAATTTGAGTATTTCAATTTTCTCTGCATGAATTGCTAGCATTCCATGTTGGGAGACATTCAAAATGCCTTTGTTGTTATTGGGACATTCTGAATTTCAGTAAATGTCAGCAAAACAGAGGGATGGGCAGTGGATGAAACTATTTATTGATGCACCTAAATCTCAAGCTGAAAATACACAGTACGCTTCAGAGCAGTGATGAGTTGGAGCTGCAGTAATACACAAATTCATCAAATTCTGGTATGGTTTGGGTGGGAAGGGACTTTAAAGCTCATCCAGTTCCACCCCCAGGCATGGGCAGGGACACCTTCCACTATCCCAGGCTGCTCCAAACTGTCCTGGAACACTTCCAGGGATGGGGCAGCCACAGCTTCTCTGGGCACCCTGTGCCAGGGCCTCAGCACCCTCACAGGGAAGAATTTATTCCCAATATCCCATCTAAACCCACCTTCTGTCATTTAAAGCCATTTCCCCTTACTGATTGGGTGACTAGATCCATTTATTTCCAGAGGAAAGCCTGGAGTGGCAAAGGCTCAACTCAGCTGACTTCCACAGATGTACAAGAGCTGACTTCCTCCCCTCCCTTAGTTTCCCAATTTGTAAAATAAGGATTTTTTTTTTACTTAATCTACTTCACTGACGTTTGCTGAAACATTGCAAGTTCTTGCAAAAGGCTTTATTCCCTGGGTTACCAGTGATCAAATTTCATGGAAAACACAGACTTGAAGGGTCATCCAGAAGTGACCCAAGCCACCCTCTGTCTCTCTTCTACTTACTACTAGAAACCTTTCAGATTATTTTTCTTTTTTTCATGAGGGCTTGTGGAGTTTTTTTGGGATACACAATGATTTAAAAAATCCTCACAATTTTATTATTACTCACAGTGCCATAAAGCCTAAGCTGTGGACCTAAGGTTTGGGAAACACACAAAGCATGGATTAATGTCAGAGTCTGGGAATGTTAACTTGACCAGGCACACCACATGCTTGTCCAATTTAATATTCAGCTGATCTATTGGCTGTTACTTCCAAGAAACATTGAATTGCTAAGGTTGGAGAAACCCTCCAAGGTCATCGAGTCCAACCATTCCCCAGCAGTGCCACCAGTAATGTGTGTCCCCAAGTGCCACATCCACAGGTTTTAAATCCCTCCAGACTGATGGTGACTGCACCACTGCTCTTGGTAAACTGTGCCAGGGCTGCACCACCCTGTGAGTGAAGAAATTTTTCCTAAAATCCAACCTAAACTTCCCCTGGCAGGATGGGATTAATTTCTTCTCCTTCCCACGCTGAGCATTCACACTTCTCTCCTCCTGCCCCAAGAGCCCTTGAGCTGGGAGATTTCCTTGGAGAGGGTGGAGTAGGTGTCTGTAAACAGGGAATTCAGCCCTGGAGGAGGGAGATTTCCTTGGAGAGATTTGAGGAAAGTTACTCAAACAGTTTTTTTCTCTCTGCATGCTGGGCTGTCTGTGCACCCTTCAGTGCCCATGCTCCCTCCAAGCAGCTCTAACATGGGCAGGAAAAGCCAGGGCACACTGGGTGATAAAGGAAAGCAAGGAATTAAATGAGGTGGGATTAAAAAAGGCATCTCCTAAGCAAGTGTTGGAAGCTTTTCAGAAGCTGTTCTATGTTCTTTAAAGCCTCTACCAGGAAAGGGAGATGTTGGGGACATAAAACCTCACAGCTCTTATACAAAAATTAGATCTCCAAACACAGAGAAGGTAAGTTTTCCAGGATCTTTCACTTTCCTCTTTTCTTTCCTTCTCCTGATTTCCTTTCCTCTTTCCCCCCCCTTCCTCTTGACAAAGGTGAAAATGCAAAAAGAAATTTCCCCTGAAGTTCTCAACTATCTCTGTCTCTCTTTGGCTCTAACCATGCGCACAACTGGTTTTGCAGTCCCAAATCAGGTTATTGAATTCTTCTTCAATTAACCACCTGAGATTTTAGGGGGAAACCTTTGCAATAAGAGGGTGGTACAATCCTTATCCTTTTTGTTTTTTAAATTATAACAGTCCACATTGTATTTATTTCCTATTCCAACTGATTGCACTATATCATGTACCTCTAGTCAGTGACTGAAAATATTATTTTAGAGGTAAGACCTCCCTTTTAACCCCTTTCTTGAGTATGTTTTACCTCCTGTCAGTAAAACTGCAAGCACAGGAGAAGTCACAAACTTTCCCAACTTCCTCTTTAGGCTTCACTTTTTCAAGTTGGAGAGCAATTTTGGTTTTTCTACATTTCAGCATTTCCTGTGGGTGCTTGATCAGCTTTTTGCCTCTACAGGAGTTTCTGATTTTGCTCTATTTTAAAATAAAAAAAAAATAGGAGCCTGGATCAGATGGATCCAATCCCAAAGGGATCCAGTGCGTGGCATCCCTGCCCATGGAAGTGGGGTTGGAACTAGATGGTCTCTAAAGTCCCTTGCAACCCAAATGACTCCAGAAGTCTATGATTCTATGGCTGTGTCTCATACAAGGCAAATTAAATATGTAGAGGGGGAAGAACAACAAAAAACCAAATAAAAAAAACAAAATAAATTTTAAAAGAACTTGATAAACTTAATTCTAATCCTATGTATTTCTAAGAGAGAATGTACTTCTGATAAAGAATTTTTAAGAATGAAAAAACTGATTAATCATTTTGTCTAACTTTCCACATTTCCAGGCTCTATACTGCACATTGCCCACTAGATTGGCACAGAACACTCCAGCAGCATGAAGGAATTCATCCTCCTGGGCCTCTCAGAGAACCAAGGGGTGCAGAAAATATATTTTGTGGTGTTCCTGCTTTTCTATATGTTCACAGTGGCAAGAAATCTCACCGTTCTCACTGTGACAAGCAGCCGGTGCCTGAACTCCCCCATGTACTTCTTCCTCTGCCACTTTTCCTTTGTAGATGTTTGTTACTCCTCTGTTGCAGCTCCCCAAATGACTTCTGGCTTCCTGGTGGAAAACAACACCATCTCCTTTGCAGTTTGCATAGGGCAGCTCTTGGGGCTTCATTTTTTTGGCTGCACAGAGGTTTTCATCCTGACAGCCATGGCCGTGTGCCGGCCCCTGCACTACCCCGCGCTCACGTCCCGCCGCCTCTGCGGCTGCATGGTGGGGTCTGCTGGGTGGGGGGATTCCTGCATTCACCCTCCAGACCCTTCCCACTGCCCTGCTCCCTTTCTGTGGCCCCAATAAAGTCACCCACTACTTCTGTGATGCCCGCCCCCTGCTCCCCTGGCTTGTGCCGAGGGCCTGGCCACGGTGGCCAGCAGTGGGGTCATATCCCTGAGCTGCTTCCCACCCTGGTCACGTCCTGCGTGGTCATCCTGGTTTCCCTGAGGGGCCAAACACTGGCAAGGTGGCACAAGGGTCTGTCCACGTGTGGGTCCCACATCACTGCGGTGATCCTGTGCCTTGGACCCAGCACTTTTGTTTACATCCCCCATCCAGTGGCTTGTCCAAGGACAGGATGTTCTACATGCTCATCACACCCATGCTCAACACCCTCATCTACCCCCTGCGGGATGGGGAGGTGAAGGGAGCCATGAGGAAACTGTGCAGGAGGGAAGGGGGAAGCAGAAATGGGAAGGGGTGGGGCTGTGGTCATGTTCCCAAAGGATCAGAGAAAATCAAGCATGTTTTGCTGAAATTTCTTCTGTGACAATGACCCAAAATGGGCCTTTCGAAGATCCTGTTGGCTCTGCTGTAACTAGGAAGGCACTGAAAGTTCTTTGTATCATGGGAAAGACATTTGGAACTCTGGCATTCCCTTCCTATTCCTTGTCAATGAGCACAGGCCCACACCAAGGTCTCCTGAGCAGCTGCAACATCAGTGCTTAAATACAGTTAAAAATACTGAAAATATTGTCCAGGTAGAACACCCCATAAGAAACAAAAAGAAAACCCAAATAAATAGTAAGAGTTAGTTGGGTGTTTTGCTGATGAAGGAACAGGAGGGGAAACTTCTCCCCTTCCTCTCCCACTTCAGCAAATCTTTTCTGCCCTGTTCCAGGTCAGGCTGGATGGGGCCTGGAGCAACCTTGTCTGGTGAAAGGTGTCCCTGCCCATGGCAGGGAGTTGGAATGAAATGGTCTTTAAAGTACCTTCCAGCCCAAACAGCTATTCTGCAATTCCATAAATATTCTATAATTCTATCTACTTCACCCATCTCTGCCCAAGACAGCACTAAATAAAATAAATGTATTTTTAAATGTTTTGGAGGTGAGCAACAGTAGGGTTTTTTTAGAGATCTCTCTTCTGGGTGCTGCTGAGAAAATATTCACCCATAGCTTATGGAAGGTGTCACTGGAAAGAGTGTCAGGCTCCTCTATACTTTGCAAAGAATTCTTACAAGAATTTCATATTTGAGCTCAGAAGTTGCTTCTGTGCTTTACAGTGTCAGTAAAAATACCTGCTGAGCAAGGAAGGCTCACCACAAACTTCTGTGCATTTTTGAAGTGATTTCCTGAATTACTTCTTGTTTTAAAGTTGTAAGTCAGATGTCTAAGAGATAACACCAGTGATATTTTTGCTTTGTGCTGTCAATGTGTAAGTTAGTAAGAAATAAGATTGTAGGTGAGAAATACTGGCTTAGGACAGAAAGCAAAATTTGTATCCATTTACATTAATTTATATAAATGTCCTATGTAAGAGACACCTTTACTCTGATGTCTCTCTCCAAGGATTACACTAATAACTACCCAAGGAACAATTTTAGCTCCTTGCCCACTGATGATTTCTGACAAAACTCCCTTTGCCTCTGGGATCTCATTACTCCTGACAGCCTTGTGCTTCTGTTGTGTGATTTACTTGAACTATTTCTGCTACAGAAATAATTGTGCTTGAAGATGCTCCTGGAGGTTGTTGGGTTTTTTGGTTTTTTTTTTTTTTTTTTTTATCATAATGGGAAATACAGAAGGTTGGGCTGTTCTTTTCAGGGCTTAGAGTTGGCAGAGATACAGAGCTGCTATCACAACTTCTCAGCAGCACCTTGCAGAGAATTTCTAATGGAACTGAGAGGTTCTGATGGAACCTCCTGAAGTGGTTTGGGGAGGTCGTCAGAGGAGCGACAACAAGTGAGCTCTGTGGAAGTGTTCTGGGATTGTTCCTTTGTTTTGCTCAGGCCCCACTGAAATCCTACCTTTGCAAAGCAGCATTGCTGGTGAGTGACTTTTGGGAGGTCTATTTTATGACTTAGAAAAAAATAATTTAAAATCAGTTACAGATTTAGAATTAAAAATTAAAAATCAGTTACAGGTTTAGAATCCCAGAATGGTTTGGGTTGGAAGGCTCATCTTGTTCTGACCCCCTGCCACGGGCAGGTCCATTGACCAGGTTGCTCAAAGCCCTGTCCAGCTTGGTCCTGAGCACTTTCAGGCATATCACACTCTAGTGATCCTGGTGTTCTGCATGGGAATGCTGTAAGGGGGACTTGGAGGTGTTTGTCAGTAAAGCAGCAACATTTTGTTCACGACCCCAGTGTCACTGCAGGTGTATTTGTGGGGTGTTCCACACCACAGCCAGGACATGGGTATTATTTCTACCACCCTTCTCAGCTAAATAATCAGAGCTTGTTATTACACGTCAGTGACATATTCTGGCTTGGCTTTCACTGTAACTCCTTCAGGGAAGCATTGGATTTAAACTAAAATTGTGGCAAAAAGACAGCAGAAGAAACACAGTGGATATTCATACCAGAGGACAATGTGTGTGTCCTGTTAATGTCTAATGATTTGGCCTTTTCGATCTTTTAAGGCAGCTTTTTTCAATGCCATTAGCATCATAGACATCTGGTTTCTTACTTGTAGCCTCCTGCTTGCTGAGTTATAAACTCCTCGGCAGAAATGAGCAGCAAAGGAATTTCCTGGAGGGATTTTAAATGGACACGTGCATTCCTCTGCTGGTCCCATTTTAACCTACAAAGTGAGTGTATCTACTGAAAAACTTTTAAAAATTCATTTAAAAAATATAGAGGTGAAGAAGCCATGCAGAGTTTTGCAGCTTCTGCTGTGTTAGAAACCCCAATTTCTCCAGTGAGGAACTTCCCAGACCCGGTTTCTGTGCATGTATTCCCAGTTCCAGAGTGGATAAGCTAACTGGAGAGCTCTTTCCTCACTTTAGAGGAGTGTCATTAGGATGAGAACATGGAACAGCTCATGCTTGAGAATAGCAGCATTTGCTTGTAGTCACTTCAAATTTCCAGCAGGTAAAAGGACAGCACAGCATTTTTCCAGCATTAATGGCTCTTGTTATCTGAGAGCAGGATGTGCTGGAATCACCATTCCTGAAGGGATTTAAAAGCAGTATGTAGCACTTGGGGACATGGTTTAGTGGAGGGCTTGGCAGTGCTGGGGGGAGAACTGGGCTCAATGGGGGCTTTTCCAACTTTAACAATTCCATAATTCTGTGATTTCTCCCTGACAGAATGTGAGCACACCAACCATGATGCAGGAAAATAGTAGTCAGAGTGAGTTCAGGGGAGAAGGTCAATGTGGAGGGGCGGGCCAGAGACCTGAATAGGGGCAGAAGAGGGAGAAAGTGCAAACTCTGTTTTTTGTCATTTGTGACATGACACTATGCTTTTTGCAGAAGCAAATGCATCCTGCTCACACTATCCACAAGCCTTGGAGCTGTAGCACATTCCTTTCCCTTCCTGGCCACCTCCCCACCAGTGCCATGGCAGCCTGAGCTGCAGCAATGGCACAGGACAACTCCTCCTGGGTGACTGAATTCATCCTCCTGGGGCTTTCTGACAGGCAGGAGCTGCAACTCCTCTTCTTCACCCTCTTCCTCCTGGCCTACACCATGGTCCTGCTGGGCAATCTCCTCATCATTGTGACAGTCAGGACTGACCCCAAGCTCTCCTCACCCATGTACTTCTTCCTCTGCAATCTGTCCTTCATCGATATCTGCTACACCTCTGTCACCATCCCCAGGGTGCTGGTGGCCCTGCTCTCAGGGCACAAGGCCATTGCCTTTGAGGGCTGCATGGCCCAGCTGTTTTTCCTGCACTTTGTGGGTTCCTCGGAGATGTTCCTCCTGACGGTGATGGCGTTCGACCGCTACACGGCCATCTGCAGGCCCCTGCACTACACGGCCATCATGGCCCGCGGGGCCTGCTGGGCGCTGGTCGCTGCCTGCTGGGCCGGGGGCTTTATCCACTCCACTGTCCAGACTGTGCTCGTGCTCCAGCTGCCCTTCTGCGGCCCCAACACCATCCACAGCTACTTCTGTGACGTGCCGCCCGTCGTCCGCCTGGCCTGCGCTGACACCGCCCTCACCGAGTGGCTCATGGCCTCCAACAGCGGCCTCATATCCCTGGGCTGCTTCCTGGTGCTGGTGGCCTCCTACGCGCTCATCCTGGCCAAGGTCCGGGCCCGCGTCTCCCAGGGGAACTGGAAGGCGTTGTCCACGTGTGCCTCACACGTGATGGCCGTCACCCTGCTCTTCACGGCCTGCATCTTCACTTATCTGCGGCCTGCTGGGACCTTTCTCACCAGCAAGTATGTCTCTGTCATCTACACGATCTTCTCACCCATGATGAACCCTCTCATCTACACCCTGAGGAGCAGCGAGGTGAAGGAATCCATGTGGAGACTCTGGAAGTGCTGCAGAGCCTTCTGAGACGGGCTGGGTTGGCAGAACCCTGGAATTACACCCAGAGTTACACCTGGAGACACATTCCTACTCTACTCCTACACAATAATGACTTAGTGGCTAAAGCCCACAGACTTCAAATTATGTACAAATGCATTTCTACACACGTGTTACTGTTAATATTAAAAATCCATGCTGAAAACCCCAAACTTCCTAAACACTTTCACTCATGTGGGATAATAATTTTCAAATAAATAAATGAATCCAGAGTGAGGCTTGTCTTCCTCTCTGACATGATTTTCCTGTGCTGTGACAGCAGATGGCAGAGGTACATGCACTAAGTGTCCCCAAATCCACCCACCAACACTTTAAGACAGAGACAGCGCAGATTCTGCTTGTAGGGTTTCCTTTAGACATATGCGAATATTTTTAGTCATAATTCTCTCACAGAAGTGAATTATTAAAATCATACAAGGCAAAATATATAGAAGGAGGAGGAGTGAAGATGGCCTCTGGACAAGGGCATGGAGGCAGGACACGTTAGTCATAATTCTCTCACAGAAGTGAATTATTAAAATCATACAAGGCACAATGTATAGAGGAAGGAGGAGGAGTGGAGATGGCCTCCAGACAAGGGCATGGAGGCAGAACAAAAGGGAATGGCTTCACACTGACACAGAGTGGGTTTGGATGGGATATTGGGAAGAAATTCTTTCCTGTGGTGGTCTGGCATCGGTTTCCCATGGCTGCACTGTCCCTAGAAGTGTTCCAGGCCAGAGGGAATGGCTTCACACTGACACAGAGTGGGTTTGGATGGGATATTGGGAAGAAATTCTTCCTTGTGGTGGTCTGGCATGGGTTTCCCATGGCTGCCCTGTCCCTAGAAGTGTTCCAGACCAGCTTGGATGGGGCTTGGAGCAATGTGGGATATCAGGGATAGCGGAAGGTGTCCCTGCCCATGGCAGGGGTGTGGAATGGGATTGTCTATAAGGTTCCTTCCAACCCAAACTGCCTCTGTGAGGGCAGCAGTTACATCACCAAATCCATCAGGGATAGAAATTCAGT